TGCAACATCTGAGATGTCGTTTGCTCGTAGTCATTCCTTGTAACATGAAGGTTGAGTCACGGTAACCAATAATTTCAAATGCCAGTATTTCATGGTTGGTCACTTCATGATGTAATCAACTCAATCGAGCCACGATATACACATTGTCTTTATTGGTCATTAAAATATATTGACTAGGGCAATCACTGATTTAGTATGTACATAACAAGTAACAACCCATTAACATCCCAGAACTAGAACTACGCATGGGTCTTTCCTCAATAAAAGGAGTATATTGGACAAATATTAACGAACTCCGAGGCGCAACGGTGGTCACGTTGCTTTGCCTAGGTCCCGGGTTAGATTCCCGGTTATGTCAATGTAGGACAAGAATTTTGGTGTGATTGTGGTCAAATGGTTTAGTTTGGGATTTGTTTCTTTCTCTTGTATTGGTATATCTTTGCTTATCTCCTTGTTTGCCTTTTCACATCTCAGGGGTGAAAATGAGTGATGACACTTCGTGTTCATACTCTGTCAACGCAGTGGGTAATATGTATACGTAAGTAAACATAATTTTACAAGCATAGCTGGTTGAGGTCAAACGATACTTTCTAAGTAATCGGCGTGTTCAGAAGTGACTAAAGTCAATACTTCGTCAGAGTTTTAATCGGGTAAACAAGACGTGTCTGGACAAATTAATTGTGTTCAATTAATAACTTTGTTGGCCAAATAAAATTTATTGCTATATTCTAAATTACGTATAGTCTATACTAGAGTTCTTTTGTCACGTTTCTGTTAGTATTTCCAAAAATGCTGTTCTAATTCTTTATTAGTTTAGGCTTAGGTAAACTCGTAGAATCGTCTGTATCAGTATCGCTTTCTTTTTACTAGTTTCCGTCGCTAAACAGTCTTGCATGTTGTTCTTATTCAAAAAATGAATTATGGCGATACAGAGAGCTATCACATAATACAGGCGATTTTTCTATAATAGGTTGTGACTTGAGCTGTGGTCCTAAGCGTGCAATAGGAACAGTACGGTCCATGAATTTGACCAACTGAAAATAGAATGATGAATTATTGTCTTTAGTGAACTTTCGTAATGCGGTTGTCGATTCCATCAATCAGACCTTATTCTTACCCTTCATATAAAAAAGAAATATCGAATAAATTCAGACTTCAAATTCTGGTAATATAATATTATTAAATCTTGGATCTACACTTGGAGTACGAAGAAGGACCATTGAATTTGTCTTTCACTTAATCACTAGTAAAATATTCCATTGTTTCTTGCGACTGTTATTGTATCGATTTGGTAATAACAAAGCTAGTAAATAAAAGAAGTATATGAAATATTGAGATTTTTTATCAAATAAGAAAAAAGAAGTTTATATGGTCTGTGTAGTGTAGTGGCCAGTAGCCACTCAACGTCCGCTGACCTGTGCAAGGGGTCATTATGTTTCTCCAAATTATTTGAACATTACCATCCACTAACGGACCCGAGTGTACGTTCGCCACTCCGGTTCAGTGTGACTCGCCGAATTATCTGTATTTGTTGTAAAAAAAGCAAACAACATGTTAGAGTATATGTACATGGTATTTCTCGTCAATACGACGTTGGACGTCGAGTGACTGCGATGTTCGGCAAAAATTAAATACGTTAAACAATCGAGGTACAGATGCATTTATTGCTATCATCATCACATCAGCCGTTAACTGTCCACTGATGAACATAAGGTTTGGGGGTTTTGCCAGTTTGCCGCAATTAGGTTTAGAGATATTTAAAGAGGGATGCCGCTGCCCATCATTCGCCCTCCTTTAGTTGCGTCTTACGACTCCCACGTGAAAGGATAGGGGTGGCCTATTCTATATCGGACCATATGGTCAATTATTTATTGAATTACTATACAAATTATTTATTGATTTATGTGGCATTACAATATTTAATTTTACTAATAAACTATATATAATATAATAAACTATAATAATATATAATATCATCAGATATATAATATCACTAAACCATGACTGTACATGGAAAATATTTAAGAAAAATTGAGGAATGAGAAAATATGAAGAGTCCCTAATTAGAGCATTAGAAGCCAAAATTGTCCCTCTTTGTGTATGAATGTATTTTTGTTCCGGCGCGCGGCATTACGTAAAAACTGCGGCATCAAATTGGTTGCGGTTTTCACAGTTATGTTCTTTACGGGTTAATTTCAAAACTATATATATGTTTTATGGTGATACGCCATCTAGAAGTTATATTTTTTATACTATTGAAGCGGTTTTCATTGGTTTTCCTATAGCTGAAATTGACGCGATCGAAGTAGCAGGAAAAAAACTATTGATTAATAATAATTTGCTAACTCATTGGTTAAGACCTTATGGTGTTATCATCTTAATAAAAACATTTAGTTAAAAATCACCTGTAGTACAAATCACCAGAATGTGATTGTTAGAGATGGGCATCCAATAGCCCCATTGCTAGCAATAAAACTATATCAGGTCTATCTCCGTGCGGTTCCCCTGGGAAACTATCTTGGTTAATTCTTTATAAATTCCTCATTATGGGTCAACTGGCTTGGTTCATCCTAACCCATTACCACTCACTGGTGCCCCGCCAGCGTATACCTATAGCGCATATGGGGTTACCATTACATTATCACCTATTAAAAAAAAAACAATGTTCTCTATCGTTACATACATATGTCACTTCTACTACCTTATGTGTCTTGAAGAATGTTTAAGAAATGCTGCGTGTATACACCCTTATATAATATAATTAACATGAATTTTTTTTTTATGCATGTTATGTTGTATGACTATTATGTCAGTGATACCGTTTAATATATTTTGTGGTCGATTGAAAAACTATTACACACTGTTTTACGAGGCTTGTGCAAAATTGGTCATTACTTGTTCCCATTGTACGTTTGCGTATGGTAGTATAGGCTTTCTCTTGAAGACATGAAATACACCGTTCCATCTTCACCCATTGAAATAAATGCTAAGTGTATATAATCCAGTCTTCAATCGATGGTGGGTGTATTCCCATGTTCATTCATAAAAAAAAAGAAAGGAGATGACAGCTCCAGATCCAAAATTGATCTAAATCTTCATAATAAGCCGCCAGTGCTCTTAAAAGGCGTCATAAAACTTACACCCACCGACGGAACGTCGCCATCAGCTGTGATTATAGGGTAATAGTGGGAGCGAGATGGCCGCTAATTATCACATTCCACAGAATTTGAGGGGAGTTTTTTGTTGGTCGAGGATTTTATACAATCGACCCACTCCAGATAGCTGAAAATGTTATGGCAAAAAAAAAAAACGTTGGCAATCGTGACAAAATACACAAATAAAAGATGAGAATATGAAAATATTTGAATTTAGAACACAGAATCGCGTTTGCGAAAAAAAAAATGTTTTTTTTGCTGCGCAAAGAAAAATGACAACTTTAACCACACAAAATTAATTAGAAGCCAATACGACAGTAAACGTTGACGATTTTTTTTATAACACAGGGGGCAAACGAGCATTCCACGGCTCATCTGATGGTAAGTGACTACCGCTGCCCATAATCACGCGCAACACAAGAAGTATTACAGGTGTGCTGCCGGTCTTTTAAAAATTACAAAAGAACGGAGAAAGTCGATGCAGAATTGGCGTAGCTCCGTAATATATTAAAAAGAGACTAATTAAAGCGGAATGATAAACATACTAACGGTCTACCTAATGGATGGTGATAACCGTCGCCTATAGATATGATACCTATGGTATCCTTAATACGTTGTCATTCCTAAAACTGTAGCGTTTCACCTGTTATCAAACATTACCTATTTAATTACACATTGTAATTTCACCATTTTATCTACATTGCCATTATTTATATAATCTATTTTTCTATTTCTCTTCGAGATTGTGTATTGTATTGTATAGAAGCGAGTAATTTTAGGAAAAGTAACCGAGTCGTATTTGTCAAAAGCTAAAACAATAGCTAGCGTGAAGAATACCCACACATGGTAAATATCTTATGTCATGACGGATAAGCGGACGAAGTAATTTGTCCAGCATTATCCACCATTCAGCGCAGCGTCTGTAATTGTTTCGTGAAGGACTGCCGTTACAAATGAATGACTTGAAAGCGTATAGTAATGGATGTCATTCTATCTGGCATGAATTTACTAAATCATGTTATTCATAGTTTCATTCTTTTTTTTATACCACGAAGGTGGCAAACAAGCTTGCAGTCCGTCTGATGGTAAACGGTCACTGTAGCCTATGGACGTCTGCGACACTAGGGATGTCACATGCGCGTTGTAGACCCTGTAGAAACTTTAATATACCTTTTTTGATAAATCCCATACCGTAGTCTCTAGGAAAAACATTAATATTAATAATAATACTTAGTGAAATCTAATTCATTAGTAATTTAAAGGAAGCTCTATAAAAGATGATCTCCATGATGAACTGGTGGACATGTCTCGGGTTCAGTTTTCGGTGGGACCAAATTAGGAAACGATTTGTTACTAATTGACTCGGGTCTGGGCGTGTGGTTGTGGCCTTAGATGTTCGTTACCAGATTTCTCATAATATAGGGTATTCTAGTTTGAGAATCAGGCGATTGGAGTAATTGTGTAGCACATAAAAAAAAAAACCTGTCACATTTTTTTTTCTCATAGAAACGTAAGTGGACAAATGATAAAAACTGAGCAAATCGAGGAGTAGGCTCAAAATTTTTGTTCTTTTCTCGATCTATTTTTCTTTAGAAAAATGTTCAGTTTCACCGGTAGAACTTTTTTATTGATTCTTCTGAATTTTATCTCGAGTTTTACGTTTCTTGTGTTGGTACTAGGTATTCTAAATATTTGTTTCACATGAGTTTTGATACATTCTTACACCTTCACCACATGGTTGTTATTACAATTTACGTCATAACCCAGTGGGGTTGTGACGTAAAAGTCCTAGTCCTAATTATATCGTTATATTAGACTAATGTGATTTTGTTTTTCTATTTACAGAACAGTGCGCCGATGTGGGAGGAGTTTATATCAAAGGCCACCAAGCTTCATTCTGCTTTGAAGTGAGTATTGATTATATTTCTTTTTATAAATTGATACAAATATTATAAAGAGGATAGATTGGATTTGTAATTGATATATTTAAAAACTACTTAACCGATTTTAAAGATTCATCTATAGAAGAGCTATGTTTTCGAAAATTATATCTTTTTTTTTATACAATTTAGAATGGCAAACAAGCTGACGGCCCACCTGATAGAAAGTGGTAACCGTCGCCTATAGACATGAACAGTACCATGGACATAACAGAGTATACTGTTTCGCCCATGATAACCCCCATGCGTTGCCATTTCTGAGGACTCAGGTGTTATTCCTCTGTACCCAGTAAATTCACGCCATATCCCACCCTTCAAACCGAAACACAGCCATGCAAACACAACTGCTTCACGGTTGAAACACGAATGGGACAGAGGTACCCAAGCAATCGACTTTTGTACAAAGTCTCCCTCTGGTAATCTACCGTGCGATGTACGTATTATATTATATAAAAATATTTGTTTGCCACAGAATTGCCTTCGGTAACTAGTATTTCTTGTATATATTAGTTTTTTTTTTTCATTCGTTTCTAAGTACTCATTTACATTTTTAAGTTCCATATTTACTAGATTTAGCGTCGTATTTTCAATATTTCTTCTTTGAATAACTTTTAAATGAAAAGGAGCTTTAAATTTTTTCCATCTTATAATATCTTTTTTATGGTGTAATTAGAAATGCGTTCGGTTGAAAGAAGCGACTTTGAAGTCTGTTTCTGTATATAAAAAGGTTTTTATACCATTTTAATATTCTTAATAGCAATATATACCATACTTGCTAGTCCACTAATGCTAATTCTCTAGGAAAATATAGAAATACTTATTATGTATGTATATCAAATCTTCGGAATAACCGTGTACCTATGCATGATATGCTTTATGAAAGTGGACAAAGAGGGATATATGTAAAAGTGGAGAGTATAAGCATCCGAAACATTTTAAACGAATCTTGCGAGCAGATATACATCTGATTATCAGTAAGACTGAAATGCCCCCATGATGACTTAGAAATAGATAAAGGAAACAATTGACTCAAAAAGACGGATAAGCTGTTTGAAAGTAAATTTGAATGTTCGTTGTGAAACAAATAAGACCTTACCTTAATTTTAATTAGGATTAAGATCAGAATTGCCAACTCGCTTACCAAGCGTGGCAACTATTGGCAAAACTTCCTTTTTGGGGGAGGCTTATGTTCAGCAATGGTAACTGTCCAGAGCTGAAATAATAAAAAAGGTCAGAATACAAGGCAAAAATTGCCTACTCAATATAATAGAAAAGTGCCTGAAGGAATAATAAATAAAAACTCTTTATTGTTTCTTCTCAAAGAAATTACATTCTTTCTTTCTTTCAAGGATCATCGTTGTTCTTTTGAAAGCTCCGTACAAATTTAACTAAAAGAAATGTTTTGGTCAATTTTCAGGTCGGCGTTGGTAGCGATAGCGGCCTTCTTGGACGCATTTCAGAAGATTGCTGATGCAGCGACCAATGCCAGAGGTATATTTTATAGTGGTTTTACAAACGATATCGTTTGCCTGTCAAATTTTCGTACTTTCCCATAAGAATAATTCATTTTATCGCAGTACAAAGTATTTAATATGTTGAACTAGGAAATAAGTTAATAACACACCAAATTTCATCAAAACTAAAAAGATAATATTACAAATGTATGGAATTTATCATCCCAAAACTGCGTAGTATCTTCCAATTTGTAACAAAGATAGAAATCCTGATAAAAAAGTGATTTGCGAATTCCCACTAATCTGCAAGTGTCAAACATTCAAGTATATATATAAATGTAACACGTTTCTGCCGAAAAAAATTTTTGTCGACGCTTTAATATTTTTCCATAAAAAACTTTGCCAATTTATTAACATAGGTTTCGATACGAAACAAAACTGAGAGGCAATATTTTGATCAATAACAAAGTTTTTTTTGTATTGTCAAATATAAATGGAATTTGATTATGTTATTGGATGCCTGAGTGTATTTGATCAAGCTTTTATTCGGGACTTTTTATCTATTTTTAAACTTATTGGAATTTAATTTGTTACAACTTGGTTCTCCCATCGCATTCGAAAAATCATTTTCTCTATAGTTCTTACCATCTTTTTTCTTTACTTGCATGTGTAACCTTAATGTATTCAATATTGAAAATGAATTCAAACGGCTGAGGTGCGTGACTAACTAACTGAATCAAGGCACGTTTCACTACTAAACGATAGACTAGTAAATAGTAAACTTAATTTAGTATCCGTTCCTTAATAACTTTGAAATTTATTGAAATTACTTTGAGATCCCGATAGACCGGGATAATACTTTGAAACAACAGTGCACTATGTAACAGCAAAAGCAAATGGAATTGCATTTTTTTTTGTTTAGGTTTACAGGAAGAGAAAGAAAGAGAATATATTATATATGTTTTATTTGAACCGCACTTATGTTTATATAAAAATTCAGATAGTATTTGTTTAGTGATTTGGCTCTGCTAATATATGTATCCAAATATGGCGAGGCTCAATTTAGCATAATATGATAAATATTTAGTTGGATCTGCAAGATATACTGGGGCTTATTTTATATTCTGATAGAAATATCTTAATTAACTCTGGTCTAGCATTTTTATGTCAGTTAAGATTAACGTTATGTGGGAGTTATTATTTTACAAAAGCTTCAATTTAGCGTATACAGAGTTGCAAAAGTTTGACTATTAATTTGTAAAATACAAAACTTGTATTAAACTATTGCTGCTATTGACATTTTAATTATAATCGTCACATTATTTAACTTTTAGATAATGAATATAAATAAATATATATCACCACTACAACCTATTTTTATCCTAAAACTGTGTTAACTTTTGAGTTTGTACTGAAAATAATGTCTAATATTTTGCAATTGAATCTATATTATCCCAATAATTACTATTATCATAGAATACATATCTTCTTCCTTTTATTCTAAATCCTTTACTGTTCAGGCAGTTCGTCTATGGAACTCACTGCCTACCTCTATTCGGTGCGCTCAAACTCTTACTAGCTTCAAAACCTCTGTTAAATCTTACTACCTCTCACTTTAGTACTATTTTCCTGTGTTCTCTCTTCGTTTTCCTTCGTCATTTTTTTCTGTTGTATGTATGCTGTTAAGTATGTGTATGTTATGTATATATTTAATTGTGTATATATTATATATGTATGTGTATGTATGTATGTATGTATGTATGTTATGTATATATTTAATTGTGTATATATTATATATGTATGTGTATATATGTATGTATGTATCTATATATGTTTGTATTTGATAATATTTATATAATAGTGCGCCACCTACTCTTTGTCTTTTTCTCAATGTCCTCTACCCAAAGGTTGTCTGGAAGAGATTGCTTAGCGATAAGGCCGCCTTTTGTATCACTTCTCATTAATATTTACTGTATTTGTTATTCCTCTTTTTACTTGGTGCAATAAAGTGTGAATAAATAAATAAATAAATAAAATACATTAAAGGTTTAGTAAAGTACGAAATTAGTTACAAATATATTTGATTCTCTATAGACTGACTATTGTATTGTGGTTATTTTATATTAAAAATAGCAGAGTTAGAACTCTCATCAAACTGAATTTTATGTCAACGTCATAAAGTTAATTTCGATGCGTTACGTCTACCAGTTAATCGGGCATTCGATTTCTAGCTCTTCTGTTTTACGACATAATTTGGTCATTGTTATGATGCTTCTCAGAATGCTGTTCGAGTCGTTCAGTTCGAGAAGTTTGAAAATGAATCAAATTGTAACATACTCGTATAACAAATTTATAGAGCACTCAGTTTTATTTATAGCTTATTGCTTTTTAATTGCCAAAATCATAATATCGGAACAATAACCTCGATCGTGTCACAATTGAATTTTTATTAAGGCCTATTAAATGTACTTTTATGTCATCGAGTTGTTGGGCAATGATGCCAATGTATAGTTCTCTAATAAAACTGTGAAATAGTAAAGTAGCATATATATTTGTATTTTTGGATTTGCGAGATACCTATGTCCAGCAATGAATAGCTTTGATTTGACTAATAAATTCAATTATATTTTTTTTTGTCAAAGTATCTCGCGACTGGCTCTTGGCTCTTGGCCTCAACAGAATATCAGTATTTTGCTCTTCTGAGGTCAAAGCGAGAAACTGAGTTGTGATCATTTCATGTTACTATGCTACACCCATGAAATGAAAAATTATGTTACCTCTTTTATGTATTTTTCTTTTATTTTTTAATTCCTTAGTTTCTTTTTTTGAGTATGTACCAATATTATTTGTGTACTGTAAGTAAAGCAAATAAAATATATATTTATCTACAAACATATTCGCTCACAATTTTATGACCTTGTTAATGTTGTACACTATAAGAGAATTGTCGCAGTTAATTTGATTTATATATCTTGTGTTGCCACAACAACCTAAAATGTTTATTAGCAAATGAAGCCACTGCGGATAATTCTCAGGTACCGTATCTCGTTACTTGACTATTTGGATGTCTGACTATGACCTACACCGATGCACTAAAAGTACCACGTCCTTATTAAATTAAAGTTCTTTTTTTATTTGCAGCAAAAGTGCATAGGCAGTTAGTAGTTCATTATGAAAAAGATTTCGGTTACCACTTAAACTCTTTATTTCTTATTATTATAAATCCTATAACAAAACAATATTGTTCCTTCTTAATATTCTTTCAATTGTTTACATTTCAAGGTGTTATCGCATTATGTATCCAAGTGATGTATTCATACACTTTAATGTACATTTTCGGTATATTTTCAACTCCACGATGTCTCGGAGCGAAGTTCTCCACTCCGACAATTTCGTACTTTCTTCCATCATTATACATTAGAGGGCCTTCAATAGGGGCGTTACAAGTTTTCATATTGTTTTCACCTCCGGAGCATAACTGTTTGTTCCATAAAGTGATATTCTGCTTTAGGCTGCTGTATGCTTGTGCACACTCCTAGAAATATATTGAAATGATTATTAAATTCTAAATCAATCATCGTAATATCATTATATGTCGTTCTTTCTATAGTATGATTTAAATTGTTGAACCTTTTTTTAATCTTATTATGTAAGAATTTTATTTTTCAGATATAACTATTCCTTAACTTTCATCTAAGTATTCATTTTGTTATTAATAAAAAAAAAATCCAATTTCTGCATCCAGTATTTTCACTACTATGTCCCATCTAACCGAAACACCATGCAAGTACAATTGCTTGGCAGCAGAAACACTTGGATGTTTGTAATATTATAATTTTGTATATAAAATATAAGTAGAGAATCTTTTTAAAACGATTTTAAAACGATCATCTAGGTATGAAATATGATCAGATATACTTCTGTTATATTTATAAATTAAAGGATTACAGTCGTCTAGTCTGATTAACAATATGAAATCGTTTGTATCTTTTGAAGGTAGTGTTCTATGAGTGAAACTTTTTTATCTTTTGGTATCTTTTGGTAACACTGAAATAATTTTAGGCACTTCTCTTCCCTGTACACTTTAGAATGGAAATAGATTGTTTCAAATTACTGAAGAAAATAATCGAGTCATAGACACTCACCGTATTGTTGACGAATGGAACAAAAATGTGTTGTATATTATTGGTACTGTGGTCACCGTTATTGAAAGTTCTCCACCCTGCTGTAATTAGTGGCTAGTATCTATCTTCATCTGAACGAGATGCAGTGACGTCCACAGTTGGAAGACAAATGGGCTGAATAAAATCTGTAAAAAGTACATTATATTAAAGATTTTTTAATTTGAAATAATTGTTACTGTTTTATAGTTAACTAGCGGCCCGTCCCGGCTTCGTACGGGTGGACATTTTTAAAACATTTTAAAAAGTGGTTGTGACATAACGATAATAATTGGACATATAGTATCGCGAAGTTTTTTGTAGTTATTAATATTTTCTTCAATATTGTACAACATACTTTTGTTCCATCACCAATTTTGTTCCACAGCGCACGCGACGAAAGATTTTTTATAGCATTTTATTACACCTTGAGATACGTTACTAAAGTTTTAGTAAGGATCCTTAATTTTGTAGCAATAAATGTAGCCTATGTTACCCAGGCTGAATGTAGCTTTCTAATGGTGAAATAATTTTTGAAATCGAGAAAGTAGTTTTGAGTTTCTTCATTACATGCATACACACAAAAATACAAATCTTTCTCTTTATAATTTATAGTTAATTTATTTATTATTTTATTTCTTAAGTTTATCTGTTACAGTTTTTGCCGATAAGACTTTATGACTGTTCTCCAATATGACTGAAGAATGTTCAGATTTGTTTTCATTATGTATTGATTTTTATCATTGATTTTTGTGCAGTATTTTACAAAACATACGATTTGAAAAAAACCAATTTAGAAAACCAAACATTTTTGAAGATTAATTCTTATATATATCAAAACTAAATTTTAAAAATTTTTCGATATGTAACAAACCTGTAAAAGGTGCATTCTGTCTCATCCTAATTAATGCGATGTCGTTTTTTCTGCTATTGAGTTCGATTTGAGGATGCAGGATGGTAAGTTCAATTGGAATGACGACAGGAGGATCAGTACAGTCCACACCGCCTCCTTCTATATTAATACAATCGCGACCATCGTTAACGGTGTCGTATTCTCCCAAACGAATATTTTTCCTGAAAATATTGAACTGAAATTAGATTAATGAGCCCTTGTACGTAAGGTTTACCAAAACGATGCAATAGGGAAGCAAAAATTGTTTTATGGTTTCGAGTCTTCAGAAAAATTTATATTCCCTAGAAGGTGTTTTATAAAATGATTCCTTCTGTATTTCGGGACATCGGCTTTACTGAAACTGCTTTTATGCAATTTCAAAAAGGAGAAGATTCTTATTGCACCTGCTATTTGACTGAGTTATGCAAAATCATGGTCAATTTATATTATATTACTAGCTGACTCGGCAAACGTTGTTTTACCATATACATTATTTCGAGAACTATACATGAAAATTTATCCTACTACAATTATTAAATTCGATTGCCATCTTGCAACCCGCGATTTTTATATTCCGCAATAGCGGAATATAAAAATCGCGATTAAAAAACAGAGGTTGGTCTTAAAAGCGTGAAAATTTGGATTTGTATGTATTTTTCAATGCTAAATCATAATAAAATAAAAATAAAAAAAATTGTCAAAAAGGCAAAAAAATATATTTAGGAGTAGGTCACCCTTATCATTGAGGGGTATGAAAAATAGATGTTGGCCGATTCTCAGTCCTACCAGATATGCACACAAAATTTCATAAAAATCGGTAAAGCCATTTCAGAGGAGTTTGGTAACAAACACCGTGACACGAGAATTTTATATATTAGATTATATATGAATGTTCATATACTAATATTAACTTACGGAGTTCCTACATTTAAGATGGGCCCAACGACGCAATGTCCAGGCGTCAATACGTATTTGCCACTTATAAGTGCTCCGTTGCACAACGCTTTGATGACTCCGTCTTTTTCGTATTCTATTAGTGCTAACCATGGGTACTCGTCGATTGCTGCTTCTGTTCCACCTAGAATAGAATAGAATAACGATCTTAATTACTAGACAAACCCTTTAAATTAATATGGACTATACTAATAGGTAGTTTCCTTTTTATTAAATTTGAAAAGGTGTTTATGAAATTTTGATGCGACAACTGAAATCTAAGAGATTGTGATGTGATCTCACTCAGAAGCAATATTCACGTTATCAATGTTTGTTGCAATGGCTTTGCATAAATCAGGATGTTATTTTAATTCAATAAAGAATATGCTTCATCAAGTTTAGTGCCTAGTCATTTTTAACTTTTTAATATAAAAACGCCGTGTGTGCTCCGGTAATGGGCCTACCCTTCCTTTCCCGTGGGTGTCGTAACAGGCGATTAAGGGAGGGCAAAGGATGGGCAACAGCGTCCCTCTTAAAACCTGCTAAGCGTGGTAATTACTGGCAAAGCTCCCCTTATGGGAAAGTCTTATGTCCAGCAGTGGACAGTTAACGGCCGAAATAATAATATAAAAACCCTGTTTTACGGTGATCGCTGTAAAGGCTCAATTGAATTTAATGAAGTTTTATAAACAACGTTTGACTGTTTATACATTTAACTAAACTCACGAATAATTTTATTGCCACTACGCAATCCACAGCATTCAGTTCTTGGGTCTGGTGGGAGCGCGTTCATTCTGTTCTTGCAATTGCCAACCTGAGTTTCTTCTTTAAGAGGACCGCAGCACACGCTGTATTGTTCTGGTCCATCGCATCTGTAATGTAATGTAAATTTAGACTTATCCAAAATGTATTCAGTATCATTGCATGTCCAATTAATATCTGATTTTGATTTTAATAGCTAATTAATAAATAATGACAATATCACGGAGGTTGTTTAAGCAAAGTAGAAAGTCCGTGTTTTTATTTATACTCGTACTTGTGAAAAACTTGTAACTAAATTGTTTATGATTTTGTTTTGGACAACGAATTTACGGACCCTCCGAGCGATGTTAGTACTAATAATTTTTAAATGATCCAAACATCCATTGAAAAAGTTGACTTGATATAATTGGAAGGATTCAGAATTTTATATAGGGGTTCCCAGACCGTCGTCAATTCGACTGAGCTATCACAATTATTGCTCGGTTGCTCTCTGCTTGTGCTGAGCTTGCAGATCGTTGTGCTTGTGTTATTAAGTATCGAAATAGTAACAGCAACGTTTGCGCATGCATCATTTTCCTGAAGAGTTTTGATCTTCATTACAGTAGGATTATATACAGAAAAAAGTTTTATTTTTGTAAAGACTACTTGATGGGGATAGTTCTCCACACAGACAGCTCAATCCGGTCGATATCGGAATTTAAACATCTTTAGTTTTGTTACTAAATCCGAATTTGCAGGAAATTTGGAATATAAATTTAGTATATTTTTCGCCTGTATTTTTATAATAATATACGCCCTTATTATTGTGTATTACTATTATATTCTTGACCAAACGAGTTTTAGGAAATGGGCCGTCGATGGATTTGTTATAATTGTTTTTTTTGTTTTTGTTTAAATTAAAAGTACCCGTAACCGGCGAGCGTGTATGAAAAGATTGATGAATGTGGAAGAAGCGAAAGAGGTTTGTTTGAGTCGATGCATTTGGTGTTCCATTGTTTCTGCCTACCTTAATGGGAGACAGGCGTCAGATATGTATGTATGTTTTTGTTCAGTATTTGTATATTATACATATTTTTTATATTGCTTGTATTTAATATCATTAGCATATAATAATTTTTTGTAAGACTTTTTTAAATTCTTATAGACAAAAATTTCATAATTTTGTACTGCAAATGCTATCACTATAGGTTAACTTACATTGAATTTTGCAAATATTGCACATCTTCTTTCGATATCGATTGTTTGACCATCGCTGCTAAATGTGGGCAAGAATGTACACCTACGCATGTACCATGATTACCGTCAGGAGTCTTACATTGCGGTCCTGGGCAGCATACCTGCAATGTTATTGTTGTATTTGTAAACATGTAATGAAATATTGTTTATAACGTTATATATAAGGAAGAATTAACGTGATCATAAAAAGTGATATCGAATCCGATGAAATCACCACTGGAAAATTAATTCAGAATTATTGAAAAGCTTACGTATGATTTTTGTTTAATAAATTTTTAAATTTTTAAAATCTTTACTCCTAAATTTACACATACACACGTGTGTGTGTATGTGTAAATTTAGGAGTAAAGAAAGTACTTTACTGTACAGTAAGCATTTTGTTGAAAAAGAGTACAATTTGTGGCTTTAATATATTGGGTCATAACCTCAACATAAAAACATGAAAAGAATATCACAATTGCCATAGAATATTTAAAAAAAATTTAGTACCTTTGGTGTTTTTCCCACATAGCCACACTTTGATTTTCTTAAAAAATCTATGTCTTGTTGTGTTCTGTCCTTTTTATTTATTATTGTAACTAAAGATAGACAATTCAGTACAGAAATGCATTGTCCTCTTTCACCACCAGGAGTAAAACATGACAATTCTGAAGAAAAAATTAAGGAATTAATTCAAATTATTCTGAGTAAGTTCAAAGTATTTGAAAATTAAAGAATTGAAAAGCATTTAAATATAAATATATAATTAAATTTATAAGGTCCAAATGATGAATGACATGACAAAAGTAACATGATGCCCAAATAATGTAAGTAGTCCAGAATTATCTTATAGATGTATATATATATATATATATATATATTTGCATATGCGTTCGTGCTCGGTCTTGCTTCACCCGATGGATCATGACGGTAACACCTAGGATAAAGAGCACTTATGCAGAAGATTATTATTTCCCATCGACTTGCAGATTTCTCTGTATATCTCTTATCTTTGTATTATTCTGTGGTAAGAGGAGCTTTTTACTGCTTACAGTTTACAGTTTGTGTAACATCCACAACGTAAGGTTTCATATAGATAATCTCAGATCTTTGAGTGCGTCTGATTTTGAGGTCTGAAGTTGTATATAAAAATCTTGTTTGTAAGGTATCTAATATCAAATGTCTCATTCTTTATACTCACCAAAACAACTAGTAGGTATACCTCCGTTATTGGACCCGGGTTTTCCCTTTAAGAGATTTGCATTTGCTTACTAATGCTGTTATCGCACAGGTCAGGCAAGTTGTTAAAGGATTTTATATTGATTTTTCCTTCTTTTGAGCTTTAGTATTGTGACTTATTTATTTATTGACTTATTTTTTACTTATACTTATTGACAACATGGATTTTAATTATTTTATATATCAATTAACTTAACTTTATGGACACTCACTATTATATATGGTTTCTTTCATACATGTGTTTATATTACTTGCATACACCCACTCTAACTTGCCTACCTCGCTTTGAAATCAAAATTATTGTTTGTATAAATAAAATCCTTTATTGGCTGTATTCATAAGAGACTTAGCATGTAAGTTATTTTTTAAGAGCTGTGGATTTTTGTATAAAATAAAATAAAAAAAAATCCTTTCTTTGTACGTACTTGTCTCGGTATTGATTTTGTTGCCCATCATCTTACCTGCTGTATTTTAGTGGAAAGTGAGACAGTAGCGATATTACCAAGTATTGTAGACTCTATGTCACAAGGATTAGTAACGAGCAAATGATACCTTTAGCAAGTATGGAAAAAAGTGGCCTCTTGTCATCAAGTGAACCTTATCCTACTAGAAGGTGACTTTGTGTAACGTTATCTGTAATGGGTTTATTTATCCTATATTTCTGCTATCGATAACCTAAACTTTAAAATTCGAACATCATAATTAGTTTCTGAATATATAACTTCTCTCCATTTCCGCCTATTCATACCTCTTACACGCCACAGCTGTCACTCTTCATTTGGTGGGGTGGTCGTTTCCCATTTTAAGTTGTATAAATACCACTAGATTCTAGTCAATTTATGTAAAGTTATGTTGAATGGATATATCGTAAGAAATGTAAACTTTTTTTGCAATGTCAACAAAAGGAAATGCAGTTAAGTATTACTTTTTTGTTAAAGAATTAAAATCAATGTTTTTTAATTATAAAGCATTACTAAATACAAATTCCCCAAAACCATAAACTATATTGCTAACAGGAGGAAAACACTTACGTCCTTGCACCAAACGAAAACTCATTAAAGATGCGAACATTAGCAGAATAAAGTTTATGTTGTATATCATTTTTTCACAAATTAACACACTACACAGTATTTTGTATTATTATTTATCCCGCAGACGTCCGGTATGTTTGTAAGCCGGGAGTGGTCTGTGTGTTTTCCTCAATACAGTTTTATGTGTAAGGATGTTTCTTTATAAATTTAAGTTTGTAAATTATTTCTCTTTGATTGCCATATTCATTAAAATAATAACCCAATTCAGATTAAAATTTAATTTTTAATATCCCTTATTAATTATTGCCTAATTGCAACTGAATTCTTAGAATGTGTAATCACTACTGTTCTCTGAGATACTGGAAAATATTGAAGTGTTACAAATACTTTTAATTTTTTTTATACAACTTAGAATGGCAAACAAGCTGACGGCCCACCTGATGGAAAGTGGTAACTATTGCCTTTAGACATGAGCAGTACCATAGACATAACAGAGTATACTGTTTCGCCCATGATACCCCCCATGCGTAGCCATTCCTGAGGACTCCGGTGTTATTCTATTATTATTAAAAGGTATTAATTACATCAGTATTTTTCAAAGTGTGGGTTGGAACCTCTACAAGAAGGTTGCGGAAGGTCGCCAAATAAAAAAAAAAGTTGATATTTAAATAAAATCAAATAACAAAGATATTTTTATTAAGAAAATGTTTAACAAAGAACATTTTTTGTAGCTAGGCTAACACAAATTAACGAAATGTACGGATTTGATGTTTGTAATGAAATAAAATACATGCAGATTAGGAAGGGGTCGCATTAATAAATTCATAACATTAAGAAGAAATAAATTTAAAATACTTCACATATATAACATAATATAGACGGATTAAATTTAGTCTTTATAGTTTGAGCACTTCAATAAGCACTTTTATTATATTTCAACCCATTTGTGTACCACTGACATCAAATTATACCTATCTTTTGATTTTAATATATCATCATGTCTTTCGTGCTTAATTTAATAAAGCTTTATATTTTAAGGTCTTATTGTACTACGGATCCAAGTGTTATATTCATATACTTTGGTATACACCCCTGGAATATTCTCAGCTCCACAAGGATCCGGACCGAAGCTGACGACCCCGATGAATTCGTAAATCCTTCCGTTCTCGTACATAAGGGGACCTCCAGAGTCTCCTTTGCAGGAGTCTCTATCCGTTTCACCGCCTGCACACAACTGTTTGTTCCATAAGGAAACGTTTTCCTTCTGAGAACTGTATATCGATACACACTCCTGGAAATATAATGCAGTCTTATTAGACTCTCAATGAAATGATTAACAAATATTTTATACTGTGAAGAAAAAATTTGCCTTTGAGATATGTTAAAAGAGAATGATAAAGAGCGTTAACTGGACCCTAAAATTAAATAAATGGACATTGGAAGTTGTATTTTGAAAAATTCATGTACCAGGAAAATGTGTATACTGGGTATACTAAAGGATGAACTAGTCAATATTGGTTTAGGAATGGACTACGGAAGACGATAAGGAGTAGGAAGATTGCGAAAGCTGTTGGACAAAATGGTATACCAGTAGAGGTATGGAAGTTATTGGGAGATGACGGATGTAACTGGCGGGTTTTAATTCTTCAACAATTATACAATTTAATACTTCTACAGACAGAAACGCCTTGGTGCATGCTGTTCGCCGACGACATTATTCTTATTAATGAGGATGGAGCTGCGGTCTAGAGTAGGTTACTATAGTGGCAATAAAGTCTAGAGAGTTTTGGCTTGAAAATCAGCCGAACCAAAACTGAATATACGTTTTCTGATTTCGGCGCTCTCTCTAAATCTACAGTCATACAGTTTGATGGTGCTACTTTATCAATGTGCTCCAATTTTCGGTACCTCGGTTCATTTCCTTCCTTCATAGTTCAAAGCGACTGTGAATTAGACGAAGAATTAGAAGATGAGTGAATGCGGGAATGACTGCTAACAGAGAAGAATGAAAGGAAATCTATCATGTTGAACTCAAATAATAATTGGGATAAGGGTAAGAAAATGGTAATGAAAGACATTAACTGGAATTAGAATTAGTAATGATCATCCTACAGAAAGTTGATAAAAAATAGTAGCAGAGCCGTAAAGAAGGCAAAGTGTAAAGATTGAGAGAAAGACCAAGACATTTGATAGGTTATTGTCGATAAAAACATAAAAACTTGATTGATGACTGATATTCATCTTTATTTCTACAAGCACACGACATACTTAGTCAAAGCTATTGAAACAGACTCAGTGTTAATAGCCGCCATATCAATATTCAGACAGATGATATTAGATCTTATTGAAAAACTTTAAATAGGAATAATAATTGTTGCAACCAATCAACCTGATTTTGAGTTTTTTTTTTTTATACAACTTAGAATGGCAAACAAGCTGTCGGCCCACCTTATGGAAAGTGGTAACCGTCGCCTATAGACATGAGCAGTACCATGGATATAACAGAGTATACTGTTTCGCCCATAATACCCCCCATGCGTTGCCATTCCTGAGGACTCAGGTGTTATTCCTCTGTACCCAGTAAATTCACGCCATATCCCACCCTTCAAACCGAAACACAGCCATGCAAACACAACTGCTTCACGGTTGAAACACGAATGGGACAGAGGTACCCAAGCAATCGACTTTTGTACAAAGTCTCCTTGAGTACACATCTTTTTACATAATTAGGGAATGTCATACTAGTTTATTGTACTCGTAACTTCAGCCTCTTAATAGCCTGTTCTAAAATTTATCTCGGGTCATATTTGATTGCATTTGTTCTAGTATATTAGTAAGCCCAATTTATAGAGTGATAGACTCTCACCTTACTGTGGACGAATGGAACAGACACGTGCAGTTTAATATTGCTTTTCTTGATGGTTTCGTTAACTGCCCCCCAACCCGCCACAAATAGTCTGAAGTTCGGTGGAGGGGTTAATGTAATGTCCCTTGTTGGAAGGCAAATGGGCCGAATGAAATCTGTAAACAAGTTCATTAAACGTTTTAAGAATTTCCAATAATGTAGGAGGAAAATATGGATTTGTATACAAATTTACTTAAGATTTAAACGGCCTATGCAACGCGGACGCATACGCATTGCCGACTCTAAACTATTATATTTTTCTCTGAGACCCTCCTTTGAGAAGTTCTAGGTATGGTACTCTACTCAGTACAATGTAATAAGTACCTTACATTTACCACATTTTATTTAGGTATCTGCAGTAAGTAAGAAAGCTACCCATATCAGATATTTGTTTACATAAGAAACTGAATAAACTTAATTTTGACATTCGATTTCAGTTCTTTTCTGCAGCAGTTGATTTAGTTATCTCAATTTTTTCAACAAGAAATTCTGATATAGCCTACTTTCGATCACTATGACAAACCTGTGAAAGGTGCGTTTTGCCTCATCCTGATCAAAGCGATGTCATTCTTCCGGGTAGTGGGGTCATACTGAGGATGCGGGATGGATCTTTCAATAGGAATGGTAACCGGAGGATCGGAACAGTCCTCGCCGCCGCCTTCTGTCGCCACACAATCGCTTCCATTGTTACTTGTGTCATATTCTCCTAAACGGATGTTCTTACTAAAAAAGTCCAATTTAAATTAAGTACATAGAGTTTAGTCTTTTGGTTGTTTATTAAAAAGACTTACCTCTTTTAACAGTTTAGTGACTATTTTTACATTATACATTTTGTTTTGCTCGATACAATGGGTTTAGAACTATATGTCATACAGTTTATCATGTATGATCCTCCATTTAATTTGAGTAAACAAGTTCTTTAAATCTGTACCTTTATGCAATCAGAAATATCCTCGTCAGAATCATTGCGGTCACAGAGGAAGGAACTTATTTTGCAATATCAGTGCGAATTGAATATTAAAGATATTCAAATGATGATTTCGTAATAGTAAAATTATATCAAAATATACTTGTAATAAGCATTTTACATTATAATTATTATATATGTAACTGGAAACTTACGGAGTCCCTGAATTTAGAATAATACCTACGACGCAATGACCAGCCGTCAATACATATCTGGAACTAATGAGGGCTCCACCACACAATGTTTTGATGACACTATTTTTTGTGTATTCGATAAGTGTCAGCCACGGGTACTGATCGATAGCTGTAGCTGTTCCACCTGATGTCAAAGAAAATACAATTTCAGTTTAAATACTATTAATATTATGTATGTGAAATTTTGTAAAGATGTTAACATGCCTGAATGGTTATTACTCATACACGCTTATATAGTTGAAATGGATTTAAATGCAATTTGATACACATTATTCATAAATCCGTCAAACTTCTCATAAACCCATTTTAGCTATTGTATTTTCTCTCTTTGGTGCAAAATTCCTAATTAAAAAGAAAGTGACAAAACAGTGTAAATGTTAAAATAGGATTGTATATGGATTTAGTTTCTATGAATAAGATATTTATTTTTAATGGATGGTTTTTCTTTTAATATCATTTTCTTATACCTAATAGTCATATGTAAGAAAATGTTAAGCTTCTTGAATACGAAATATAAATCAGAATATTCACTTGATGAAGTAGCCACTAGATCTAATATTTTACAAGTTGCACTCACCACTAATTTTATTTCCGGTTCCACTGTCAACTCCACAGCACTCAGTTAATGGATCTGGCGGGAACGCGTTCACTCTGTTCTCGCAATTTCCAACTTGTGGTTCCTCACTGGGAGTACCACAACACACGCTGTATTGTTCTGGACCATCGCATCTGTAATTGCAATGTATTAATTTTTAAATTTGTCTTTATTTACCTATGGGCTCTATCAATCATTAAATTATTTAAGTATGTTATTGACTTACTTGGAATTCCGTACGTGTTGGATGTTTTGCTTAGATGATGGTAGTTTGAGCATAGCCGCTAAGTGTGGACACGAATATATACCAACGCATTTCCCAGGTTCACTATTAGGTGTGTAACAGTGCTCTGGACAGCATACCTGCAATGATTTAAAACTGCACATAGCTACACTAATGTTATAAAAAGGAAAGGCTTGATTATTTATTTGTAATGGATGAAACTCAAAAACTACTCAATCGATTCTAAAAATTGTTTTGCCTAAAGCGACTTTGTCTGTAACATAACCTATATATTATGTGCTTATATTCCATGTACTCGTGCGAAGTCAGATCGAAATGCGGGTATTCGGCTATAAGTTTTCAGAGTTGGTTTCAGATATAGACGGCACCTATATTTATGAAATTAGCAATAGCACATTTTTTTATTTTGTACTCTCTGAATATGACGTTTAAAAAGAGATGGAACTGAGAAATTATTCAGAGAAAGATTTCAAACGAATAACAATATTATTATATCTAGTTAAATACTTTTGGGAAGTTATTCCTCTGAAATCAACTCCTAATAATTTGAAAAAAATAATTCTGTTTTCTTGGACATCTATCGGGAAAGTCTTGGTCACTCCATTGTCAAGTTTGTGATACTATCGTCTTAGTTTAGTTTTTAGTGTTTATTAGTTTTTATTTTTTAATGTCGTTTTATGAATTTGCATTTAACATTGCTTCATAATGTACAGATTCATGATAATTGTATTTGTGGGTAGCATCTTATTTGTCATGTACATACTTGTCAGAGTTTGCACTGACCCTACTGCGTTGTGGATTGTCAATGAAGTATTGTTTTTCTATATATTTTTTCTTTATAATAGGTGAAAATGAAATAAATCCACCTGCGTTATCGATTTACACTGGTTGGTCACTAGTGAGAGATGATAGATGAGGATAAAAGCAGGCCAATTGATCCATCGTGACGAATTAACCATGGTGATCTCCAGGGGGACCTCGTATATATAGGGTATGTTGCTAGTAATGACGCTGTTAGACACCATTACTTCTGTCTTTTTATATCGGATATTATCTCTCTGTCCATTACTTTGTACGTATAGATTTATAAGTAGAAAACTTAATTAAATGGACCATTTCTATATAGCATATTGATAATTATACACCAGTTCTCAAGTTCCAAAGTATCCCACCCTTCAAACCGAAACACAGCCATGCAAATACAAGTGCTTCACAGTAGAAACATGAATGGGACAGAGGTACCCAAGCAATCGACTTTTGTACAAAGTCCTATATTCCATTCAAGAATATAATTATGAAAACACAGAAAAAAAAATCTAAAAGTATTGTTTTGGCATCTATTGATTTTATTAAGACCCCTTAAGAAGATGTACAGACATCGACTGTTTGCAATTTTATCATATCAGTTAGATGATTGTAAACACCTTTGGTGTCTGCCCCTCAAAGCCGCACTGTGACTTCCTCAACAGATCTATGTCTTGTTGTGTTCTCTCCTTTTTGTTTATTACTGTGACTAGAGGCGCGCAGTTCAATATAGATTTGCATTGCCCTATTCCACCGCTGGGAGTGAAACATGATTCTGAAAATTAAAATATCTTTTATGAAAATATTGATCTTTCGAATGCCTTGATGTTAGTCTTAAATCGGTAGTATTAAAAATATTTGTTATGTCATCCATTTCGGCTAGGTTGTTTTAGATTTTTTCTCTTTTTAATTTAGAATTAGGAGGGAGAATTAAAGTGATTAGTATTAACAATTAGAAGAATTTGAGCATGATTGGTAAACGTGTGTAATGGATGCAGAAATGGCGAGGTTGGATTAATGAAATCCGGGATATGAGATATCAGAGAATGCCACCTGCTAAAGTAGAAGTTTTTTTTTTTTACTATTAGGATTCTCAGATATCGTAGTTTGAAGACCAGGAAATTAATTTGACCGTTACTCGTATACGAGGTTTGTCCGGAAAGTACGTATAAAAGTTTTTTAAAAATTTTATTTTACAATTATTCAGGTAAATCAATTTTATCCCCTTCAAAGTACTCCCCCTGTGACATAATGCACTTGTGCCAACGCCGTTTCCACTGTGAGAAGGCTCCTTGAAAGTCCTCTGGTTGTAGGTTTCTCAGCTGCCCCGTCGTAGCTTTTTTTATCTCATTTATGTCCCCCAAATGCCGCCCCCGAAGTACCAATTTGGTTTTTGGGAACAAGAAGAAGTCACACGGGGCCAAATCCGGCGAATAGGGGGGTGTTCGGTCACCGTAATGGAATTTTTACTCAAAAACTCACGGACAACAAGAGAGGTGTGGGCAGGGGCATTGTCGTGGTGAAGAATCCAACGCCCCTCTCGCGCCAATTCTGGACGAACTCGTGCCACACGAGCTTTGAGGCGTCTGAGCACATCGACGTAGAATTTTCCATCAACTGTCTGGCCTGGAGGGACGAATTCTTGATGGACAATCCCCCGAACATCGAAAAAAACAATCAACATTGTCTCGACCCTCTCTGAATCTTTTTAGCCACTTGTGGACGGTTGGTTCCTTCACAGCATCATCCCCATAAACTGTTCTGAGATCGGCAAAAATTTCACGGCCATTCTTGCCGAGTTTCGAGAGAAACTTGATTACGACGCGCTGCTCTTCAACGGAAGCGGGCTCCATGCCGACGGGGTTTCGTTAAGAGGTAACTTCACAGATGGCGTGACAAGCCAGTTCGCACCGCACGGCGGTCAGACCAGAACTGAAGCATTGTTAGGGACATAAGGAAGGGGTCCTGCGCTTACCTGGCCTCCCCACTCCTCTTTCTCGCATTCCAGAACACTTTTATACGAACTTTCCGGACAGACCTCGTATATTACTGTTTGAAGATTTGCAATCAGTATTTTTAGTTACAGCAGTAGAAAGTATATTGATATGATTATATTTTATTTTAGTTGGGTGGAGGGATTGGATGCAACGTATGTTCAGGTACATTCTCTGATAATGATTATTTCCTCATTTATATGATGTTTTAAACATAATTTTCCAGCAAAATCATGGCCACAAGGGATGCATAGGTCGGTTTTTATCCTGAAGCTATTAATGTAGTTACTACTTATTGAATTAATTAATTACTTAAACATTCCTTTCCTTTCCTACATTCCTAACATGAATAATATTTAATCTTTTCCCCATTACATGCCTATATTTATAAAATTGTAATTGTTATATTTGTTGTAAATAATTTAACTTAATTGTCCGACTTTAATATTGTTATGAGATTTAATGTTTACTGAGAATTTTTATAGTCTTAGTTATGGCAATGTAGGAGTCTTTGCCATTCGATTTCGAAGTATGTATTTGTTGCAATCTACTATTATTAAAATGCCAATAGTTATTTTTGTAGAAAATGGTTTTTATAAAAAAATACTATTGTAATAAAGTAAAATAAGTTATACAAATAATCATGTTTTACTTTTGATCCATGTAATTTAAGAAATACTTTAATATGCAATAATAAATAGAAAATGTATGTGAACAAGGAAGATACAGTCTACTCAGTGCCTTATTTGCCTTAGATAATATAAGGAATAAACGGCAGCAATAACTACACTTGTACAAAAATAATAAGATTATCTTATAGCTGAAAACAGTCTTTTTAAAGTAGCCTTAGGAATGGGTTTATTTCTATATAAATACATTTATAGTTTTCGTTTAGTCTCGGCAAAGAATAGGCCACCCCTTCCTTTTCCGTGGGTGTCATATAAGGCGACTAGAAAGGACGAGGACCGGGTAGCAGTGTCCCTTTTAAAACTGCGGTTGGTAATGCGGCTGCATAGCGTGGCAACTATAGGCAAAATCCCCTAAGGGGGAGGCTTACGTTCAGCAGTGGTTGGAAGGGTTGATATGATAATCATGATCATGATGATGATGATAGTTAATATGTGAAATTAAAGCTAAAGTAATACACAATACATTGAATAATTTACACGTACTTGTGTACACACTATAATGGCTTGTATATAATTATTATGAATTAGTGACGTATAACAAAGGTAATAGCGTAGTAGTAAATTGATACTGTTTATTCCATACTTTAACAGGTTTTTGTCCTTTGTTATAATGCACTTTTATAACAGGTTTTATCTCAATTAAAAAACCTAACAGGAAATGTATGAGCTGGTCGACTTAGGCTTGAGAAAGATCGTTTATCATATCTATGTAACTTTGCATTATTGGTACAAAATTTAATGAAGTTGAAGGCAGTGTGTATGTTTTCATGATACAGTACAATTTGTATAAATAAGCGTAATGTCATTTAATAACGTTATTGTGTATTATATATATATATATAGTATAATCTGTTAAACTGGAAGTAAACCTGGTAAAAAATATACCCTATCAGGTCGACCTCCACGCGGTTCCTCCTGGAAACCATCGTGGTTAATTCTAGTGAAATTAATTACGATTGGCTAACTGACCTGCTTTTATTCTCATCTACTCGTATTAGCACTCACTGGTGCCCCGCCAGCGTATACTGATAGCGCAGGCGTGGTTACAATTCCATTATCATCCATTAAAAAAAAACTGCAAAGCTATCTTAAAATAGAAAATTATGATAATTATTTTTCAAATTGATAGGTTTTACTTTCGTGTTTTTCATTTGCGTAATAAAATTTGTTTATTGATGGGCACGCGAATCCTCTTTTTAAATTTAATTATTTTAAACGTATTCACAAAACATTTCCTCTTTTTTTACTAGTATTCGTTTTAAAAGTTTAAACGTTATTTAGAACACTATAAGTTATTAGTTATATTAGTTTTGTCATTATTATAGTTTATATATATATGGATATATGAATATAGATATATATTCATATGGATATATGAATATAGAGATGGGATACAATCAATAAACTAATTACTGCTTATAACTACACCCATTAAACCGGTATAATTAATCTTACATAGTACTTAAGATGTGTTAATAATAACAGGTTTTTATCTTGAATATAAGTTAATGCTACGTTTGTTAACAACCTGTGATTAAATTATAACAATCATGTAGTGATAGTGGACAATGGATAGGTAATGATGATGATGAATTATGTAATAAAAAAACTTTATTTAATTTTAGATATTTTAATATAAATACAATGCGATGCTGAGTTCGTCTTGTATTGACGAGCTTGTATTAAAATGAATATGGAGGAAGCGAATAAGCTGTGTCTGAATCACTTATTAATGAATGAATGAATGAATGAAAACTATTGCTCTCTTCAAAGAATGATACTGATTGTAAAGATTGACGATATGTACACAAACAAAATTGATACTTAATTACATAAAAGCATATCTTGCTTACGAGGCAACAATAGGCGGCCATATCGCAAAATAGCGATCTCTTCCAGACAACGTTCAATTAAAAAAATTCTATATACCCCAATAGCAGCCGGCATCACTCATTGTATCGTCATCATCATCATCATATCAGCCGCTAACTGTCCATTGCTGAACATAGGCCTTCACAGTGCTAACAAGACGAAATGTATTAAAGTATTACTTTATTATGTTAAAATGTAAAATCAATGTTTTAAAATCATTAGTACCATTACCATCATCTCAGTCATTAGCTGTTTACTGCTGAACATAGGCTTCCCCTATAGACAGCCATAAGGAACGGTTTTCATCCACCGACTTCCTGCAATACATTTGAGGTCGTTACTCCATCTAGTGAGGGGTCGTCACATTGCATTTGATCATATGGGGTCGCGACGCAAGAACCTTTCTTCCCCATCAATAGTCGCTTCTTCAAGCTATGTGATCAGCCCATTGTCATTTCAGTTTGCTTATCCTTTGGGCTATGTCGGAGAGTTTGATTCGTTTGCGGATATCCTCATTTTGGATTTCATCGCGCAAAGACACTCCAAGCATAGCCCTCTCCATAGTTCGCTGAGTAGTTTGAGTAATTTTCTTACTGGCAACCGTGTAGGCCCATGTTTCGGTTCCATAAATCATTACTGGCAGTACTTACTGGTTCAAGATCGTCGTCTTCGAACTTTGACGTATTTTGGATGATCATGATTTATGAACGAAGAAAAGAACAGTCATCATATCATGATTGATATGATATGATATCATATCATATGTTTTCTCCGTTTAAGTTTTCGTCGTCGAAGTTATGGTTGAGGGGTAGGCAGCAGCGTTCTCCTTAAAACATCACCAAAAGCCTAACTGCGGTTACCGACCCGCCTGCCAAGTGTGGCAACTAGAAATACCCCCTCCCCCAATGGTAAACACCAAAAAAAAAAGAATAAAACCTGAAGAAAGATTTTAAAATGCAAATTCCCAACACCGTAAACTAAATTGCTAAGAGAAAAATACTTACGCCCTTGTACAAAGCGTAAACTTGTGAACGTTAATAAAATAAAGTTTATTTTGTATGCCATTTTTTCTCAAACTAGCGCACTAAACGGTATTTTGTATTATTGTTTATCCAGCAGACGTCCGGTATGTTCGGACGCTGGGAGTGTTCTGTGTGTTTTTCTCGATACAATTTAAAATGCAAAGATATTTCTTTATTAATTTGAGTACTTACAGACATCATGTATTTATATATGCAATAAGGATAACAGTGCATTTTATATTTATCGTCATGCCAGTCCATTACGAGGTAGACAGAAATAGAGTAGACGATTTGATGACGTTACCATGTAATTATATAGAGCAAGTTATATTATATGGAGATACCTTTACTTAATACATGCATGGTCATTGTATGTTTCAATTTAATTCAATACAAATGTAAACAAAAAAGCTGGTCAAGCGCGAGTCGGGCTCGCGCAACGAGGCTTCCGTACAAAATCATAATGTTTAAAAACTATTTTTTTGTGAAACAACTCAATATTTACGGTTTCCAGATTTTTTCCTTTACTTGTGCTACATGACATTGCTTCTTGCCAAATTTAATGATTTTAGGTCAACAGAAAGTACTCTATCCCTTTGAGAATGTCACACTATGCGATATAAAATGATCATAAACTGCCGTATCTTTTCATTATGTCGAATTAGAAACTTGATTTTTTCACTGCTTTAAGATATTGCAGATCTGAGTATATGATATTAATTTCATCTCGATACCTTTAGATGTTCCTAAGAAAAAGGATCTTGACAGACGGTCGGACGGGCAACGAAGTGATCCTATAAGGGTTCCGTTTTTTCCTTTAAGGTACGGAACCGTAAAAATAACTGACCTTACTATAGGAAAGTTTGCTGATGTTCAATAGTAGTACAATTAAAATATAGGTTCCCTAATTGTATGTTTCTATTTGTTACTACGAGTAGTTTAATTGATGCATTGTTTCTGTGATAATTTCAACAAAATTTGGTTACCTTTTCATTAATGTCTATTGAAACGGATTATAACAGTAATTTATCTATCAAGATATTTCTTTGTCATTCGTTTACGGGAGGTAATGCAACTAACTATACCTTGTACTAGTATTAATAGTGACAATCCTTAGTCGCGCATCAAATACATCCGCGGAACCTTCCGTGAACACACCTACACACCGTACACACCGTCCCCGCCGGCGGGGACGAAGACACCGCACATCCGGTATGCGTCCTCGATCCGTCAGGTATCTGCCTGAAAGCATTTCGTCCGTCTCGTCCGCCAACGTCTACGGCGGCGACTCCCCCTCGCTACACCGACCCCCGTCCCTCGATGGGAGTCGAAGTGCGATGGCCTGAGTCGAGGTTCGAGTCATTAGGGCGCCCTCGGGCGCACACACCACAGTCCATCTGTAAGAGCTGACGCTTATCGTCGCTCCCCTCTCGCGGGCTTGGAGTGCCTTTTGCACTCGCCCCTGCATACGCGCTCGATGAAGCTGTAAAGGCCATTTGCGGCCAACAGCATATACAGTACGAAAAAAAAAACACACTCACACATGTATCAAAATATAGTATTCTCTGTTTAGTATCAGAATTAATTTATTAAGTATTTAGTTGCATCTGTAAATTATCTATCTTTGATTGCTGTAATCATTAAGTGATAACCTCATTCAGGTCAAAATTGAATTTTTATTATGTCTTATCGAATATTAGCTTTAATGCAACAAAATTCATCTCAATTCTTCAAATAGAATGCGTTATCACTACTATTCTATGAGAAACTGGAAAATATTGAAGTATTACAGATATTTTAAAAAATAACATGAATCGATTCTTAGAAGTGTTTGTAGATTTATTAATGTTACGAATACATTTTCGTGCGAATGTATGTATTGAAATTAATATTTTTTTCTTTAGAAGACTGAATACTATTAACAATGACTTGTTTTATTTTTATAATCTCAAAAAACTATTATTTCACTTCTATTTATTAAACTTTCAAATAATTATGTATTGTTTTTGGTCAACTTTTCTACTCGCAGGCAAATGTTTTAATATAGTGCCTACGTGATTTCTCATTTCGTCAATTAAATTTTCGTTCATCAAAAATTACTGTTAGTAGTGAGTAAAGGAGAAAAAAATAAAAATAATATATAATTGTCATGATGTTGCATTGATTTAATATTTGACTTCAATGTCTTTGTCTCTTTCAAATATCAAATGAAATAACAGAATTAAAATAACATTACGATCATGTTAGCAATAAAATTCTTAAATTTAAGTAGTTAAAGTACATAAAATAGAGATCTTAAAAACACTGTGAAAAGTGAGCGATGTCAGTGCACCAAAATAAAATCAGTCTCTGTTCGTAATTTTGTTGGCAAAATCTACATTCAGTGCGCAAATAATTATAAAGTTTAAAATTAATTTTCCTTCTCAAGTAAAAATTGCAATATCAAAATAAATAATTTTAAAAATGAAAATATTTTAAAAAGTAATTATTAAATCAATGAGATCATATTAAGAAGAAATATAAAATACTTCAATTAGAATAAAGACGGATTTCCATTGAATCTTTATAGTTTGAGCACTTTTAATATTTCAGCCCGTTTATGTACCACTGACATCAAATTATACCTATCTTTTGATTATAATATAACACAATCTCCTTTGTTCTTAATTTAATAATTTACATCTTTACATTTCAAGGCCTTATTGTACTACGGATCCAAGTGTTATATTCATATACTTTGGTGTACACCCCCGGAATGTTCTCAACTCCACAAGGCTTTGGACCGAAGCTGACAACCCCGACGAGTTCGTAGATCCGTCCGTTCTCGTACATGAGTGGACCTCCAGAGTCACCTTTGCAGGAGTCCTTATCCTTTTCACCACCTGCACACAACTGCTTGTTCCACAAGGAGGCTCTTCGCTTGGGATGACTATACACTGGTACACACTCCTAGAAATATAATGCAGAGATATTAGAGTCGAATTGAAATGTTTTACACACATATTGTACATTGCTGGGTTTAGCTTGATACGCTTGGAAATTTTTTTAATTTTGCTTTGGCATATGATGTTAGCGAACGATAAAGAGCGTTAACTGGAATTAAAATAAGTTATAAACATCCTACAGAAAGTTAAATATAAAAAGCAGTAGTAGTAGTGCTGCAGTGGAGGAAAGATGTAAAGACGAAAGGGAAAACCAAAGACATTTGTGGATTACTGTCGACCAAGGTATTGACACTTGATTGACTGAACATTATTTATATCTGTCTTTAATTCTACCAGCGCAGAGAGATTCTTGGTTAAAGTCATTCAGGCATATTCATTATGATACAAATATTTAGGCTTTTTAAATTTTGATTAAGAATCATAATTGTTGCCATCTTTTAACGTCTCACTTTTGGTTATTGATCTCTTTATATAAATATCATCACATTATTATCTGTTGGATATATCCAACAATTTTTCTTTGCATTACAATGCATTTGCATTGCACTTGTGTGTTGTACTCATAACTTTAGTTTCTTAATCGCCTGATATACAATCTCTCTCGGGTCATATTTAGTTGCATTTGTTCTATAATATAAGTAAGCCCAATTTTAGACAAATAGATGCTCACCTTACTGTTAACGAATGGAACAGACACGTGCAGTTTAATATTGCTTTTGTTAATGGTTTCGTTAACTGCCCCCCATCCTGCCACAAATAGTCTGAAGTTCGATGGAGGGTTTAAAGTAATGTCCATTGTTGGAAGGCAAATGGGCCGAATGAAATCTGTAAAGAAGTTTATTAAGAATTTGCAATAATGAAGAAGAAATATTAATTTGTACACAAATTTAATAAAGTTTGTAAGCAATGAACGCATTGCTGGCTTTGAACCATTTTATTCCTGTTGCAGACAGGTATAAAATGGTACCTCATTCGATAAGATTCGAGCTTTGTACTTTACTCGATATAATACAACAAATTCTTTACATATATCACATTTTATTTAGGTATCTGCAGTAAGTAAGAAAGCTACCATATTAGATCATTGTTTATATACTGAATAGACTTAATTTTGAAATTCAATTTCAGTTCTTTTCCGAAGTCAATGGTTTACAGATCTGTACTTTTCCAACAAGAAATTCTGTAATAGCCTACTTTCGATAACTATAACAAACCTGTGAAAGGTGCGTTTTGCCTCATCCTGATCAAAGCGATGTCATTCTTCCGGGTAGTGGGGTCATACTGAGGATGCGGGATGGATCTTTCAATAGGAATGATAACCGGAGGGTCGGAACAGTCCTCGCCACCGCCTTCTGTCGCCACACAATCACTTCCATCGTTACTTGTATCATATTCTCCTAAGCGGATGTTCTTTCTGAAATTATCAATTTGAAATTAAATGCACAGTATTCGTTGTATTTAGTCTATAGTCGTCTGTTAAGGAAAGAATTTTATAACATGTTTATGCAATCAGAAATATTTTAGTCAGAATTATTGCAGTCACAGAGGAAGGAACTTATTTTGCAGTATCAGGGTGAATTGAATATTAAAGATCAGTAGATTGAGACGATGATTTTGTAATAGTACAATTATATCTAAATATACTTGTAGTAAGCATTTTACACTATAATTATAGTTTGAAACTTACGGAGTTCCTAAATCTAAAACAGCTCCTACGACACAATGACCAGCCGTCAATATGTATCTAGCACTAATTAGTGCTCCACCACACAATGTTTTTATGACACCATCTTTTGTATATTCGATAAGTGTCAGCCACGGGTACTGGTCGATTGTTGTAGCTGTTCCACCTGAAATAAACGAAAATTACTACTTCAGTTTAAATCCTACTAATACATATGTGAAAGTTTGTGCAGATGTTAAGATGCCTGAATCGTTATTACTTATACACGCTGAAATGGCTGAATGGATTGAAATAAAACTATTGGTTTATTCGCACCGGGTAAGCAACGGAGTACATTTGATATAAAATTTTCATAGTTGAAAAGATAGAAGTAGATTAACGAATATGTAAGAAATATCAAAAAATCTCTGGTAACCAATTTTGATAATAACAAGAACTATTATCAATATTATAAATTATTAAAAAGATATCATATTAAAGTTTACCATAATATTAAATAAATGCCATTTTTTTTTAATTAATAAATATTGGAATAAAAATTATAAAGATTGACGAATATAACCTCCAATACTTCAAATACAATATGACTCGATTGACACTTGTCTGTAATATCTAATTAATGGGTTTGTGCGATAGGATGCGATAGGATTTTGAATTAGCATTATAATTTATTTTTCATTGAATCACAAACAGTAAGTTTAGGTGGGTACAAAAAAATTAAGATGACATGGTTTCTAGGCAAATGTACCGATATTTGGGGTTATTTTTCTTTTAATATAATTTTCTTATATGCCTAATAGTAATGTATCAGAAAAGGCTAAGCTTCTTGAAATAATGAAACATAAATCAGCGTATTGATGAAGCAGTCACTTATAATTTTACCTTAATATTTTACAAGTTGCACTCACCAATAATTTTATTTCCGGTTCCACTGTCAACTCCACAGCATTCAGTTGATGGGTCTGGCGGGAACGCGTTCACTCTGTTCTCGCAATTTCCAACTTGTGGTTGCTCCCTGGGAGTACCACAACACACGCTGTATTGTTCGGGGCCATCGCATCTGAAATTATAATGATTAAATTTAGACTCTTTCTAAATGTAAATCCAAGTTTAATGCGTATCAAATCAATATGTGTTTAATTTTAATTTTATTTTTATAATTGATTTTGAGCGGTGTTTCTAAAAGTGCAGTATTTATTTTTGTATGATAGAAGAGTAACTTAACGAGTAAGAGAACTGATGACCTACTCGATAAAAAGAAGTAATCCTAAGACATGAACAACGTAGAAGGCACTGTGACGTCCGTAGTATCCCTCGAGCATTGCCATTCCTGAAGGCAATGGTCTTATGCCTTTGTATCCTTCTTCATTGCCATATCCCATCACAAGAGCGATAAACGCAGATAGATTTACTTATCATTTAAACTTTATTCTGTACATAGTACATAACTACGTGCTCTATCTATTAATCATTAAATGAACATTTTAGTGTTTATTAACTTACTTGGAATTCTGTACGTATTGGATGTTTTGCTTAGAAGATGGTGGTTTGAGCATGGCCGCCAGGTGTGGACACGAATATATGCCGATGCATTTTCCTGCTTCGCCGTCAGGTGTATAACACTGCTCTGGACAGCATACCTGCAATTCAATTCAAATTCATTGATAACGAGGTCAACAAATGTTAAGTGCAGTGTAACTGTGAAGACAACAGACAAAATTTCTAAAAAATATTACTTTGGCATCTATTGATCTTATTAAGAAGATGTACAGACATCGTGTGCCTGCAATTTGATTACATTAGTAAAATTCTTGTAAATACCTTTGGTGTCTGCCCCTCAAAGCCGCACTGTGACTTCCTCAACAGATCTAGGTCTTGTTGTGTTCTCTCCTTTTTATTTATTATTGTGACTAGAGGCGGGCAGTTCAATATAGATATGCATTGTCCTCTTCCACCGCTGGGAGTAGAACATGATTCTGAAAATTTATATTATTTCTATGAAAATATTGATCTTTCGAATAATTTAACTTTAGTATTAAATAAGTAGTATTAATAAATTTTGTTACGTCATCTATTTTAGTTAGGTACATTGTTCTTATTTTTTTATCTCCTTTTAATTCAGTAATTAGAGAGGGAGGTAAGGTGATTAGTATAACAGTTAGAAGAGTTTGAGTATGATTGATAAACGTGTGTATTGGACGCAGAAATTGCGAGGTTAGACCAAGGAAATAATAATGACATTGATTTGGGTGTCTTAGGATTATGATCCCAGTTACTAAAGTAGAAGGTCTTTTGTTCTCTAGCTTCACTAGCATATTGGTCTGATTGTTTATGTGTTGTAATCGAAGATTTACAAGTGGGATCAGTACTCTTAATTACAGTAGTAGAAAATACATTGATATGATGATTCTTTTGTATGTTTTTTATTCGTTATTAATTGGATGCAACGATTGTTCATATACATTATCCATTAATTATTATTTCCTCATTTATATCATATTTTAAACATAATTACCTTGTAATATCATGGTCACAGGGGATGCCCGTGCCAGTTGTTTTCCTGTATGTAGGTACTACTTATTAATCTCTTTAGTACTTAAGTAATCCTACGTGAATAATACTTGACCTTTTTCCCGTTATATGCATTTATTAGCATTAATCATTAACAATTTTGTCAATAACATGTTTACTTAATTGTTTTATTTATACATTATAATGGGATTTAGTGGTCAATGAGAATACTTATAGTCTTGGTAAAGTATTCCGTAAGACTTTGTCATTAGCAGTTTCAAAGTATATATTAAATGGAATTCTACTATCATTAACATTGTAATAGTTATTTTTACAGAAATTGATTTTAGTTAATATCGGTTTTTGAAATTTGCTTCTGTATTTTAAAATTGAAGTTTTCTATATTCTGTATTTTGGCCCAGAATTGGTATATCTCCTATATTATTGTATGTTCTAGTTCAACGTGTAAAATTTGGCGAAATAATCTAACTGTGGGTTGAATTGTCTAAATCCTAATACTATATTTAACTTAGAATCACTAGAATAGTTTGCCTCTTGAATTTCCACTAGACGTTATTCTTGAGATTGCGATTAAACTTTAGTGGCTTTTTTTAATTCTACAGAAAGATGTGATGTAATTTTTGAATCCAATGATCCAAATAATCCTTTAAAAACAGTAAGACATACAAACAATATAATTACATTTGATTTATGTAATTTTGGAAATATGCATACATTTTCATTGAATTTACTATTTGCCATTATACGTATATTTTTATATATTAGGTGCAATAAAGAGTTAAATAGATAAATCAATTATGTCAGTTGTTTCAAATCATGTAGGCATGCAAGTTTTAGTAACTTTTTAAATTATTGTCAATTGTCAAAATCTATTCAGAATTGGCGATGAGTATGCGTAATAAAAAAAAAATGAAGTGATTTAAGACAAGTTGGAATTAATTAAAAATGTTTAGGATAGATTCAAGTTGTTTAGTTTCATAAAGTTTATTTAATGCAATATTGTTTAGGTATATTATGTTATGTCAACTGCACTAAGACCGCATTGCCCTATTATGAAATTATGATGCAGTATATAATTATGATAAACTTTGACATAATAATAATGAGTACATGAAATAAAGATAATTCTTGCATAGGTTTTTTTTAATATTTTTATTTTTGTTTTTATGAACAGTACCATATTGGATAGATTTTCATCATCATTATATCAGCCTTTAACTGTACACTTCTGAACGTAACCGTTTCTCTTGAAAGGTTCTGATAGTAGTTGCCTCGCTTAACAGGCGTGTTGGGTACCGCAGTTATGCTTTAGAGACACTTTAATCAGTGCTTTGCTTTTAAGCAAAACCATCACTGAGCTGTACCCTATTTGGGTCACTGCGACACACTTGGTGAAAACATATTTTATCTTTTGTTGTATATTTTATAAAGTGTAAATAATTTGATTGTATAAACTCATTTGTAAATTTACGTATGTCATAAATGACTCAAATAAAAAGGTTATCTATCTATCTATCTATCTTTAAATCTCTCGCCCCCCCCCCCCCTTCTTTTGTCGCCTTCTTCGACACCCACGGAAAAATGCCGGAACCACACGGCCAATATAACATATTGATACATAGTTATATAGTCTTTATTGTTTCCTCCAAAAGATTACAGTTTAAAAGATTGTATATTTGTTATGATAATAATCGGTATTAATATAAATTAATATAATTCGATGATTTCATTAAATTATGCCATCTATTTTACATTTAAAATAATCTTTAGTGGAATAATAACATTTGGTACATAGTCATTTGATTAATTAGTTTTTAAACCATTTTAAATAGCTTAAGTTTAGGTAGTTTGCACCAGATTTTTATGAAAAATTGTTACGGTATTGTGGTATACGCGTGTTTAAATTTTTGGTAATATAATTTTCACAGGATGTCTTACTGAAAATATAAATAGGTAAAATCTATAAAAGATGACTTTTACCTATTTAGGTATGAATGCATTTTCGCATACAAGCAGCCCTCGAATATGTACATTGATGGAACTGATAATAGCTTTTCGCTGTCAAAATAGTGGTGCACAAAATAGCATAACTTTCCGTTCTCTGTTTTATCCTGGGAAACCAATATATCCTGGTTATATACAATGGTCGTGTGCCCCCGACATAGAATAGGCCACTCCTTCTTTTCCCGTAGATGTTGTAAGATGCGACTAAGAGCATTTAATGGTCGAGGGATGTATGTATGAGGATGTATGTATATATGAGGGAGGGATGTATACGACTGATATGATGATATATATAATCTCCGCGTAATTGGTAAAGGATCATTATGTAAATGTCCATGCAAAAAAATTGTTCATATATTTCTAATTTATGTTCCATTCGTATCAAATAAGTAGCCAATTTACATGCTGGAGTCAACACACTGTTTGCGTATACACAGATTTTGTATATATTTTCCTTATATTGTGAATTCTGGTCTATATTAACCGCTTTAGATACTTGTAATATTGTCTACATCAGATATTGGAGCATGTTATTTATATTTCGCCCTCCAAAAACGACATCAAGTATACACAAACATCTATAAACTATAAGATGTTGACGTTGAATATACCTATTTGAATTTAGAATGCGTTATTATGTGTTTACTAGTATATTTTGCTTCGCAGCAAGCACTTACAGTGCTGTTTCTGCCTAGAAGGTAGGTTCTACTTCAGGTGGGCCGTCAGCAGTTTTATAATCTGGTAAATTAATCCGATTGATACGGTCTATAGAAAATCGCTGAGTGATTCCAGCATAGAATGGGATACCCTTCCTTTCCCGTTGGTGTCGTAAGAGGCGACTAAGAGCATTTAATGGTCGAGGGATGGACAGCAGCGTTCCTCTTAAAACATCACCAAAGCCTAATTGCGGTTGCCAACCTGCTTGCCAAACCTGGCAACTACTGCCAAATCTCCTGGGGAAGGCCAATATTCGACAGTGAACAGTTAACGGCTGATATGGTGGTGATGATAGAAAATCCTACTAGCAAGGTGTTTGAACTATTTTATCTCTTTAAAAATCTAGGAAAGTATGAGCTTTGTTTATTTATTGATTTATCACATCCTCTTGTCACAGTCATGCCCAGCTGATTCCGTTTTCTTGAAAATAGGTAATGCAGATATTAAAGCGTGTATCAATAATGCATCTCTCGACATGTTTGGATGTTCATACGATGCACTTTAGTTGTTAATTTAGATTCAGGTAATGTTGGTGAATAAATATTTACGACGTTTACCACGATATTGCACGACAACATACACTTTAAACTGTGGGAGTCGGCAAACTGGATATCAATCAATAAAGTTTTTTAGTGCATAGTTAGATTGAACATGTATTGCGGAGACCAGACAATTAATCCTTGCAAGGTCTTAAGGAATATGCGAACGGTAACAGTAGGTCTTACTAATCTGGAACAGCACAGCATGTCTTCACGAAACACTTCATAATAGAGAAACGATGTCATTCTAACATGTTGTTTTCGTAAAACTGGCTCACTAATTTAATTTATATTTGTAATCACCGTGTCTTGGTAATCCCTTATGGACTCCCGCGATACAGGTTCGCCTAGTGCGGGCTCCAATGTACTCGCTGTTGTAAATTTCTTGTATTTAATAAATAAATAAATAGATGCAATCATTTGAGAAAGAGTTGCGTTTGTCTCAGCTAGAATGTTTTGGAACTTATTACAATGTCATCACAAATGGAACTACCCTCAAAAGTATGCCCCTGATGAGGAATGACTGAAAAAGTCTACATCTTAAAATATACTTAGAATTTAAAGTGAACTGTTGTTTATTCTAGATTCTAAGTATTAGTATAGGGAGGAAAGGGATTGTTAGTGATAGAGACTGAAAATCTCATTGCTAGCAATATACCCAACCAGGTTGACCTCCTCGCGGTTCCCCCTGGAAACTATCATGGTTAATTCCTGATGAATTCATCATAATGGGCTAACTGGCCTGTTTTCATTCTTATCGATCACCCTTCACTGGTGCTCCGCCGGGGTATCTCGTTAGCGCAGGGTTACCATACCATTTTCACCCATCAAAAAAAAAAAGTATTAGTATAAGTGTTATCAAAGTTTAAACGATTTAATAATTCATTTAAAGTTTTAAGCGAGTTTAAGTAATAAGTATTTTTTTTATTTTATTCTCTATTTTATACGGGCGATTATTATTGTCTGGTTTATGTAAGATAATTTGTATATAAGTTCCGTGCATTATTGAAATATTTTCCTTGTTTACATGTTTTAGATGAACAGTTCAATAATGTCAAGGAAGTTCAACGGAGCGTAGTAAACTATCTTTACAATGTCGATGAAAAGGAAACATAAGAGAATATTTAAGTCATTAATTATATTAAAGATTAAATCAAGGCTTTAAAATTACAGACGGCGATTGAAAACTTCCCCACAGCAAAAACTAAGAGGAAAAATATTAAAATAATACTTACGCCCTCTTACGAAGCACAAAGTCGACACAGACGCAAATATAATTAAAATAAACTTCATTTTGTATATAATTTTATCACACATTAATACACAACACGTTATTTTGTTTTTTTCTTTTTATTTTTCTTTCATATATCGTCCATCAGACGTCCGGCACGTACGGACGCCGGCAGCGTTCTGTGTTTGTTTGAATATAGTTTTTCTTATAATGGACGCGTCTCTTCGTTATTTTGCGTACGACTACAGTGTTTTTATAGGACAGTTTGTTTTAATTCTTATCTCTTAGTCGTTATTGGTGAATTTTCAATAACAAGTATAAACATTTGCGGCTAACCGGTATTTCAAGTGACTTCACCTGATTCTCGGAATGGCCAGTATGACCTGTGCGTGGTGTTCTTTTTTAGCTAGGTCTAGGGTTGTCACCATACTATAATATTTTATTTAAGTCCCAATACTCGGCATGGGTCTTTCTCATTAATAGGAGAGTATAGTTGTCTAGGCGGCTCGGTATGTGGTTTAATTTTAAATTTTTCTTTTCTAGCACCAATATTTGGTGTTTTGTTCCTTTAATCGGCTCTTACGACATTCCGGGAACGAAAAGACACTTGTGTTCTTACTCTATCGACACATATATAATACCTATTTGTTACCATTATTTTTATTTTTGTTTTATTTTTTTATAATGACCATTTTTTTTTCCATTATAACAGGCTTACCAAATATATAATTATTCTAAAAGAAAAATATTTGACAAGTTTTTTTGCGACTATATTACACGATTACGTCGCAGTTCAGATATATAGGGCAATTTCACAATTCTTTTTTGCAATCGACAGCGTTTACTCCGGCGTTGGTTCCATATTATTTCTAATTTCGAGTCAATTTCAATAAATATTCTCGAAATCGACAGAGTTTACTCCTGTTTTGATCCCATATTAATTTTCTGACTATTAAAGATATCTTTTTGCTTCTTACGAAGCAGAGTCTACTTCTGAACACGCGATTCCGCGTTCTAAATTAAAATATTTTTGTATATATTCTCGATTAAGGTAATCTTTTTTTGCTAAGCAATATTTATTCGTACTTCGATTAATTCATAAATAAGATATGACAACATTGGCAACCCTAATAGCGTTTGTTGATATTGTAGTTATGCATTTAAGATAATAATATCTATAAAGTATGTGTATAAATTTATCTTCACAATAAGGTCCACTACGGGGTAGGCAGAGAAATGTGGAGCGTTATAATTTAAGATTTTGTACCACAAAAAACACCGACTTCAATAGTGGTAAAGTTATTTTGATTTAAAATGGAAACACCTGTACCGAATTTGATAAAGTTTTTTGGGGCCAATCCGAAAGTGTATCCTTTTAGACAAAAAAAAACATTTTCCCAAATCGTTTGCCATGCCATTTTTACCCATTAAAAAAACCCTCACTGGTATCCCACCAGTGTAAACAGTGAGCGTTCATTAAATAGTGACCACTCTATTACCAGCCATAAAAATACATACATATATAAAAAATATACGTATCACAGACATGGTGTCATTCCTTCTTAAGCTTACTGCATTTTCCTTTTTATATATTTCTTTTTTTTTCTCTTTTCATGTATGTCTGTATATATTTGTTGTTATTTGTATGCAAGTAAATTATCTATCTGTCTAATAAATTAGTGTTTCATCTAAACAATATAATTATAATCAAATAACCAGTTAGAAATTTTTTTGATGTTATTATATAATTAATTATGTTTAGCAATTTGCGTTGTTGACTGTACTTCTTAAAGAAACAATACAAGTACTAATTATTTAATGACGTTCTTCTACTGACAATCAGGACTACAGGATTTACCATAATAGTGATATTAAAATGTCATGCGTCATCATTTATAAGAAATTAATCACACGAGTATATCCATGACAATGGGATCTTGCGGTAGGAGTTTCTCAGTTCGTTTGATTTTTTTACGACTTCGTTATGCGATCATGTTATCGATAGTTATTTATTTTATATATTTAGACTTTTATTTATATATTTTTATTTTATTTATTTCAATTTTTATTTATTTTATTTTGTTTCTTGCCCGTTCTTCTCAGTTGTAATTGCATTCCGAATTGGGCAGTAGATTCATAAAAAAATTACTGTTCAAAAATGCTCATTTTTAAGTTTACTTGAATAAAAATTAGTTTTATTATTATTTATTCATTAGTACATGTATGTGTACATGGCGGACTTAATGCTAAAAGCATTCTCTCCCAGTCAACCATAGGGAGGTGTCAGAATACTCGAATGCGGTACTAGTAATAATTTACAATTAAATATTGTTGGTTTCGTATTAATTTTATGTGGATTTTTATTTACGGAGAAGCAAAACTTCTTGTTACAAAGTAAGAGGTACCATTTTACGTTCTGTAATCGTAGTTAAATATTTTCTGTTGAGGTTTATTCAAGAAACTACAGCATGGGGTTCTTCAAAAAAGGAGTAAAGAGTAATGCCCTTAGTATTTCAGGCGTTCATAGGCTGCGTTTACTGCTTACCATCAGGTAGGCCGTATGCTTGTTTGCCACCTCAGTGGTATAAAAAAATTCAATATAATATGATGCGGAAATAACATCCCATTATTTATAATAAAAGTACCTTACTTTTTTCTGCAGAGCAAAATGTTGGAGTTTAAAAAAAATGTTTTTGCAACTATTACAGTTTACTCTCGTTTGAAGCTATGTATTTTTGTAAAATATATATTGTTATTGTAACCTGAATGATGTTGTTACAGGAGCGACAAAAGAGATCGGCACAGCGCTCACGAGGGTGTGTCTTCGGCATCGAGCTATTGAGACCAGGATGAAGACGTTCATAAGGTAAAGTTTGGCAACTAAACTTACCACACGTAACTTACTGCTTCATGTTTATTCATATCTGCAGAGTGAAGTCCAAGTTGTTTCATTCATCATCATCTTAGCCAATATAAGTCCACTGCTGAACATAGCCCTCCTTCATAGAGTACCATAAGGAACGGTTGTGACCCACTTGCATCCACTGAAATTGTTTGTTATGTGTAAAATTAAAAATCTACTCAACCTGTACAAGAGGCCAGACGTTTGGTGAATCAAAAATTAATTTTTCGACCCATTTCATCTTTGGTGAAAGTCAAGCTTCGCGGCTAGAGCTCTCCTTTTTTAGTTATTTTTTAACCCCTGTGTGGATGTTGTCGTATAAAATAAAGTTTAATTGTTTCTTCTTCCTTTCTTCAAAGATTGCCAATGATTTCGTTTTCACCCTAACGGTTACCACTTTCCATCAGGTCGGCCGTCGGCGGATTAATTGCCCTTCCAAGTTGCATATAAAATATAAATACAGCTTGACATTCAATTATTCTTGTTAATACCGTCTTCGGAAGAAAATAATTCGTATTTTTTCCTCTTCCGATAATTAATAATTTAAACCTTTATTGACTGTATAAATAAAGTGGGAAGCCTATGTTTGGCAGTGAGCAATGAAGAGGAAAGAATGAATGGAAAAATGGTATTACCTTTTAAATAGCTGAGGCTTAATATTTATTATCATTTAATTTTTTTTTTCATGAAACTTAGATTGTCAAACTAGCTGACGGCCCATCCTCTTTTTTGCTTTTAAATTTCATAAAATATGTTCTCAATACGGTTGTACTTTTTTTTATGTTTATTTATGTTTTTTTATATCAGTTGTAAAGCGATTTGGAAAATTCTGATTTGTAAAAAAAAAATATCTAAAAGGATATGCATACAGATTAGTTTCATAGAAAGTTTATCAAAATCGCTTCAAATGTTTAGTTTTTAAATCAAAATTACTGGTTTTACCACAATTGAAGTCGGTTTTTTTTTTAGAGCACGGGCTTAATTATTTTACTCGTATGAGACGCCTTTTATTAGCACTAAATTCAATTTGGCGACCTACGAGCTTGGGACCTGGATATCACATTAGGAAAATAAAATGTTTATTACTAAGGATCAAATGGTTTATGTAGTTCTTGCTTCGGGACTTAATACAAATTTAGCTTTGACGTATCGTCGTTGATACGTCAATTCCTCATTAGTTCAAGGGACTTCACAAGAGAACTTTAATACTATATTCTTATTCAATTCATCATATTTCAGAATGAGGGGACTTCTCGTATAGAATTAAATACAATGTTCCTGTGGTTCTAGTAATCAATTAGTCATACTATTTCAAGGGACTTTTCAGGTGGTCCAAAGACAGTATTCCTTTTAATCGACTTCAAATAAAAAAAAGTTCATAATTCGACTCTAATTTTCTGATTATTTCACGCGATGTCGTTACCAATCGGTTCAATGAAAGTTTTGAAATCGATATGGTTCATCATCTAAGTTTTCATATATCAACTCTAATACTTGCCATATGTTCCCGAAATAGATTTGGTCACCCCCCTTCTTTGCCAGTGGGTGTTTGAAGAGGCGACTAAGCGAGGGCGAGGGATGCGCAGCAGCATCCCTCTTGAAACATCGCCTATAAACTAACTGTGGTTGCAAATCTGGCTGCCCAGCGTGGCAACTGTTGGCAAAACCCCCGCTTATTGTGAAGGCCTATGTTTAACAGAGAACAATTAATAGCTGATTTGATGATGATAACGATGATGAAGTCTAATACTAGTTAGTGGTAAGGTCTTATGACTTATGTTTGTTTTGTTTTGGATGGACGCTAAGATAGTCGGCGCAATATTTGAACCAAATATCCCTAGTACTTAGAAGTGACAACGTTAGAGCTTTGCTATGGCTTTTGATTTTCTCCCCTGCTTCTTTAAGAATTCTGAAAATTCCATATTTCATATATCAGGAATTCACGTGTCGTTTACAGCGCTTTAATGGATACGCTGATTACTCCGCTATCGGAGCGGGCGGACGACTGGCGCCGGGGTGGCTGCGCGACCGGTGCCCTTAGTCGGGAACACGCTCGCGAGTGTAAACGAGCGCGGGCAGAACTCAGACGGAGGGTTCAAGAGGCACAACGGCATGCCAGGAAAGCGCGTCGTGCTCAACCAGACGCGAAACGACGGGCTGATGTCTGTATGCAGGTGAGATATATGTCCATCGCTGTACCAGAAGGAGATTTGGAGTACTGAGTCGTTTGAATTATAATGTACTAAAAGAATATTGCGTAGTGTTCTGTATATAGCCTTCTGGATACTTCGATTTCTTCTATGAATTCTGCCGGCAAAAAGTTTGCTTGCATGCTGTTATTTGATTTAGCCAGATGCCGGCTGGCTAGAATACCAGAGAAGGATGATAGGTGAGGATAAATTTAAGTTAATGGCCTTGTCATAATGTATGTATTTAGTATTCCCCACGGCTTCGTCCGTGTGTTTCAGTATACGAAGCATTCTATGTGCTAAGTTAATATCGTGTACCAAATTTTATTCAAATCCGTTCAGTAGTTTTCCATCCAAGCATCCTTCCGTCCTTACAAAAACATGCATTTATAATATAACAAGCATTATACGACTATATTTTTTAATTTATCAGTATAGGTTTCATAATTCAGAATAACGATTTGATAAGGTGCTCGCATACAAGGTTAACAACGAACCTGCTAATCCTTATCGCCAATTCTCTCGGTTCTTTCATTATTTGAAACCAGAGCTTATCTGGTACACATGTGCTATCACATACGGATAAAATGCAACTTACCTAATACTGAATACTTGATAACTTACAAATAGTAGTAATGATAACAAACCATATGATAATAGTTAAGTCTCTATGTCCAGGATGTCCAGGAACGCAAACAACAGTTGGAAGAAATGGAAGAGAAGGCGGTTAAAGCCGCTCTTATTGAGGAGAGGAGCCGCTTCTGCCACTTCGTATCGTTACTCAATCCCGTTGTGGTAAATATATTTACCTATTTCTTCAGGTAGTTTAAAGATTGGCATAAAGAACGGACTTCCGAAGGCCTCTATGTTTAGGCATAACTTTCATTTACTAACTTTGTAATAAACGCTTAGTTGAAAATGAAGTTTTGCATCGGTAAGGTGAAGTTAGTTATTAAAAGAGTTTACTACAATTCTAAAGTGATTTGAAGATATTGCGAACTTTTATAGCGAAAGGTAGGTCTTAAGTACAAAAACAAGATGCACAGGAATCATTTTATCTTTTTTTTTTTTTTTAAATCCGTGGAGTTTAAATTTATTGAGTGTTTGAAAATTTTACAGTTTTTGCCAATTGAACCTTGGTGTTGTTTGCATCTATAGGATATGAGTCCCTTTGTGGGCTATCTGATTCTTTGCCCATCCAGTGAAGAATTTTCCCGTGAAATGTTCTCTTCTAGAAAAAATTTCTTTAAAGGTCACGCATTAGAGACTGTTGTTGATGTTGATGTTTATGGGCAAATGGGTAGCTCGTTTAACTCTCCTGTTTCGTGAAATCCTTTTATGCTTAGTTATATAGGTAATTTTGTAAAATACCTTACGTTTGATAATAAGGTAATTGTGTTCGGTCGCTTATAGGAGAGTGAAGTAGCAATGCTAGCGGAGGTCGGCCACCTGCAGGAAGGCAGCGAGCAGCTCGTACGCCACACGGCGGAGCCTAGAACTTTACCAGCGGCCAGCTTACAGGTACAAAATTTGAACCACTATCGTTAAATTCTTTCATTAAATTAGGTACCAACTCCTTAAAAATTTTAAATTCTAACGGGAGCTTTTCTAAAAAAAAAAATTAATTAGACAATGTATGTATTTGTTTATTAGACACCAATGGCGTTACAGTAGTTAATTAAAATCTTAACGCTAATATCAGGTTTCTTTATATATTTATTATTTATATTCTCTTAAATATACAAAATAGATGTCAATCGAGAGTGTCAAATGTCTCAATTCCAATATCGATCTATTATAATTTATTTCAAGAGTAACCGCACAGGAAGAGGAAAAATACGTGTACTTGTTCGTTGCAAGTCGAGTACAACCCAATATCCTCCTTTTATAATGATGAGTGGCAATTCGGTTGTTGATCTTATTAAAAAAAAACATGTTTTGAACTTCGCAACATTAATAAATCATACAAACCAGGAAAAAGTTTTAAACAAATAAACGATTATGTCATATTCATTACTGAACATCAAGTGATGAGCAACTGGCATAGCAAATCATGGGGCTTGTCTTTGGTGTAAAATCTGGTGCGAGGGATGGTCTAAATTAGATGGAATAGAGTCTATATGATCTCCCAAAGAGGGTTGACGTCAGGCAGGCAACTGGTCGTAAAACTAAAAGCCAAATCTTTTTGTAATATGGATAAAAATGTATTACGCCGACCCCAAATAATAATTGGGATAAGGGTAGGAAGATGATGATGAGAGTATATGATCATTTTATGCAACTCCGAATGATAAAGAGTTTTACAGTCCACCTGTTGAAACAGATATAGATATGAATAACCTACCTACCAAGAAATATTTTCCGAAACAAATGTAAAACGAAAAAGAAATGGGATCTTTGCGAGATAAAAGGATTATTATATACAAAGCTATACAAAACAGTAAATATTCTGTCGAACTTCGAGGCGCAGTGGTAAGGCGGTCGTTTTGCGTAAATGAAATCTCGGTTTCTATTCTCAGACGGACTTTAGAAAAAGAACTTTCCTTAATTGTGTGATGGTCCCCCCCTTTGCCTATGTGCACCCCTTATAATAACTACCCTCTTATACTAACCTACACGTGGAAAACCTACAAAGCCTAAGAAAAGCCTACGAAGGCTTTACCTAATGAAAACCCATGAAAATCTAGTGAAAACCTACCCTAAAGAATGGCCTAACACCCTCAATATAACCCCATACCTATATTGCCTTATACACCCCAAACATCCTATGAATCATATAAACCCTTACAATAAACACATAATATTGAACAGATCTTATAGTAGAACACTTGATCATTTGGCCAGATAAATAAATGTGTGATCGTCTAGTAATGTAGGACCCGTTGTGTGTGTAATAACCAAAAGGTTCTTTAATTGGTATATGATAGGAGTTAAATAATGAAGATGATTGATAAATATTTAAGGATTAAGAATAATTAATGAATTATACTCATAATTCATGTAACTAGGAAGTTAGAATATAATATATTAATTTAATAGTAAATTACAGAATAACTGTAATAATAAAAAAAATGGGGGAGCGGTCGGGCCCCTCACACGCCCGGACCAGTGGAAGACTTTCCAACTATCTATAACTCTTCCTCCAAAAAGGTAGGGAAGGGTATTACTATTTATTAATGCACTCTGATGGTAATAAGGGAATGAGTATTCTCAGTTCCAAACCAAACATAAGTACATTTACTTCAACATTACAGTGGCTCCACCAGCCCCACGATGCTTCCAGTATAAATTGGTGTTTGCCAGAGGCAAAAAGATCGGAACTGAAATCCCAGGATCACTCCGACACGAGAGCTTACTCATGGGCGATGACCCTTTCAGTCCTATATGGCGACATAGAGATCACCCACTAACAGTACGAAACTGTTTCCCAGCGTCACCCTGTTACGAGCTTACTCAATGGGGGTTTCCCTTCGGCTCCACAAGAGATCAGACCAAGAAGCGAGATCACCCAGACACCAGAACTTACTTTGATGGGACATAACCCTTCGGCTCTATAATGTGACATTAGAGATCACCTGTGAAGACAGTCCGATAGAGATGAAGATTTGTGTGATAGGGGATACCTTCCACACCCTGGAATTGGCCAAGCCATATAATGTTGATAATTGCTATATCATAACATAGCATTGTCAATTTAATATTATTTACTTAATACCAAGAATACTCAAGGTTCAAGTTAAATCTGTTGATTAGGCCGGAGCCTAAGAACGAGTAGTCCAACCCATAGGTCGAGAGCTACTAAAAGTAATGAGTGCTATTGAATGAACTATAAGTCCAGTCAATTATGTATAATATTATTGTTGATTAACCACATTGTGAATTAACCAATTATTTATTCAGAGAGATATATCTAAAGGAACTATAAGTCCTTTAAAAGACACTGATTAATCACAAGTTAACAACGTCTCGTGAAATAACCAGTTGGGTTTTCTATAAGTTTGAGGACACTAAGTCCAACAAGCTATTATTGTGTTGAGAGTAATAGAGATCTTTTGTAATATTTGTAGAGGTTTGATTAATCACATTGTGAAATAATCAGATTAAATATTTATGTAACTTTATAGAGAGGACTATAAGTCCTAATTGGTTGTTGTCATAAGTACTGATAAATTACACATTAAAGTGCCAGGTCAATTATTATATATAGGTATATAGGAAGGACAATAAGTCCTATTTGTGTATGTTGAGTAGTAGATGTATATTGAATAATTATAATGTAAAAGATATATATTAAATATATATTTGTATAGAAAGGACAGTAAGTCCCATACAATTATTGTAGCTGTACTATAGTTATACTATATCTACTTCCTTTTAGTGTCTTAGTAAACCTATTTACTAAGAGGATTTCTCAGATAAACAAGTGTTTTAGTGTTTAAATCATCATGATTAAATCCCTAAGAAATTAGGTCTTTAAATAATTATCATATCATTTAAGTGAAATTTCTCATATAAATAATTCCCATATTTTCCCTACAGTTATTATAAAATAACAGAAAATTATATAAATTTTCTATAGACTTAGATATAGAATCATAACGTGTATAATCTCCTTTTGTTTGACATCTGTCACATTAATGACGTATTGAATGACGTATTGATGTATTGAATTGAATTTTGATTATCTATCACAACTGTCAACGTAACAAATACTAGCAAGTTTGTTTATTTGTATTTGTTTAATATAATTAAATATAAAATCATCATATATCAACCGTAACATACAACTAAATTATCAGTGACATAAATAATCATGGTTTACACCAGAAATAATTAATAGTATCATGTAATGCTGCAGTTTTACATTCATATCAGTAGCCAAGCTTACTTTCAAATTCAAGAATGAACAGAAGATTAGAAGTTTAACATTCTTATTGCAATTGTACTTGCAATAATATATACATACAGTACTAATTCTCAAGAACATTCCTCAAATACATGTGTGGTGAAGATTTTCCCAATATGCTATCTATTTGATTTCTAACCTCTAATGTAAATTTATTAAAGAAGTGAATAATCAGTGTTAGTGTTTGCTTTATTAATATTTAAAGTAATTGTCCTAACTTGATATTAATAGGATAATATCTCCTTGGATACAGTCTGACATAAACATATAACTCAATAATTAAATTTATAAAATACTAATATTATATTTTACTACTTGTATATCTCCAAACTATTCCCATAAAATATTCAAAACATGTATATTAAATATAAATCCAGTAAATATTCACTAATATTAACCCTGTCTGAACTTGTCTAGTCAATATAACATGAACAAACAACACACATACAAACCTTATCGCCATGACAACTTTCCTCCTAAATATGAGTAAAATACATAACTTATACTTGTCATTTAATACTAATTTTATACTGTACCTCATACCTAGTTAAGAATAACTATAGTCAGAGAATCCTTTAGTACATTTATTACCATTAGGAAATAAATCCACACCCATAATATCAGCATAATTAAATATTATTAGAAACCAGTAATACATACAGAATTGTTATTATCAGCTTGCTTACTACAATAAAATCAATATTAAAGTTTATAATAAATCAAGACAAAATATCTATTTAAACAATACAGGCTTGTTTACCATAAACACCCCACAGTCACATGAATTTATCTAGTAACACAATTAATAATGTATTAAAAGTATTACATTCACATAATATCACTTGCAACAGTTAAGCTGTCTCTTTGTACATCTGGTGTAAAACAAATCCCCACATGTAGTCATGGATAATCAAATATAGACTAAGAATCATTAATCTGGTCGACCGAGTAATGGTATAAAAACACATCACCATGAAGCGTTAAGTATGAACAGATATTCCAAACCAACACTGTAATAGTGTAATAAATACAAATATTTCATCATCATCATCGTCTCAACCATCACCAACTCACGACTGAACACAGGCAATTTCCACCGACTGACACAAGGAACGGCCCCACAATACACATAAAACAGTCACTCCAAACAATGGAGGTAGCCCACACCACACTTGCATTTACAGGGTCACCACTCAATAACCCCTCTCTCTCATCAATGGCTGTTTCCCCAGCAATGAGACCAGACCATAGTCACTTTAGTCTATTATCCTCAATAAATAAATACTTTATAATAACTAGATATGAAACTAGTTAGTATTGTAATAGTTCAATAGTTGATTCAATAAGTATTTTCCAAAACTGGACAATTAGAACATTGAATCAAATTGATGAAGTTCTATCAAACGACCATATAATTGGATTTTGTATATGAGTAGAATAACGTAAGTACGTAAATTATATTGATGTAAACTTTGTTCAAATGTGATTGCATTTAACGATATACGCATTACCTAAAGGTATATGGACTCGACTAAATACGTATTTTAATAGTTGTTGGGAAAAATATTAAGTATAGACTTTGCCTGTGATCACAGTCAAAAATCTAACTACGTAGTAATAAATGGAACAAGCTCACCGGATTCTCCAGTCTTCTATT